TAATAAAGTTTATTATGATGGAAAGAAGTTTACTTCTAAGGGTTCCTCTCTGTTAGATTCTCTGTGAGACTCTAAGATTCTGAAAATCATTCTCAGGCTCGTTAATAAGAATTCAACTAACGTTCGGATCAAGGTTTCACTATACTTTCTCGACTAGCGCGATTTTCGATGGTTTATGTCCTCTTATATCTTTCTCTTTCAACATAGGTCAAAAGAAAGAGATAGAAATGAATTTTGGATAATCAAATAAAGGTATATCGAAAGAGAAAAGAAAAAGCTATATATAAAGGCGAAAAAAAAGATGCTGGCTGGCTGAGAGAGAGAGAGAGAGAGAGAGAGAGAGAGAGAGAGAGAGAGAGAGAGAGAGAGAGAAAACAGACAGAGAGAGAAAGAGAGAGAAACTGCACACAAATCACTGACTATTCGTGCTCTACGAAAACTGGTTTTCTGCTTCTCTTCGTGATTATTGTATGGTACGCCAGTGAACGTGTGCCCCCATTGGCATCCCGACGCGTGCATCGCGCCAAGGACTTCACGACACGCGTTTAGAAATGCCTCAAAGTTGAATCCTTATGGAACCGTATGCCTATTAACATATACTTATCCTTTTCACTTACGAATCGTTGAACATTTATTGTCGAGTGAATTATTCAAAAGATTCCACGATATCTAACAATCAGATCGATTGGCATGCACTTCCTTTAATGAATCTTCCGCGTTCTGACATTGTTTTCTTTGAAATACTCTCGTAAAAGACGTCGAAAGAGAAATAGAGACAAATATGGTGTCTCTGGTCTTTGATATAAGCGTATCGAGTAATGCATATACGAGTATATCGTGTTGCAGTCTGGTAGCAGACGATAATTATCGATCAGGAAATAAGTATGTCTCTATGTATAGCCAACTCAATAACTATTCCCATATTTTTCTAACAATTCAATTTTATAGAATCATTGTTACTTTCGGAGTAATTTCTATGAACTTTACAAGTAACCAATGACATATTAAACACATTGAAACGTCTTAATCACAAATGTCGATATTGTTAAAAAAAGATATCAGTATGAATTAGATAGTATTCCATAACTTGATGTAAGAGAAAACAGCTGTCTCGTTTAACAAAACGTTGAAAATACGCTGCCTTTCGAGACATACCATCGCCGACAACGATGACCTTTATCAAGTAAGCTATAAATTTATTGACTGCTTGATCGTGTAACGTTTCTCGATAAGTGCGTTGCACGAGTATCGTGTCTTTTAACAAAGACTTCCTGAGTTTTCCATATTATGAGATTGGATCTTAGCTTTTCCATCAATCTTCCGATAGGAGATTGAACTTCATGAATTTTTAAAAAGGAAAAAAAAATTCATTTCCATTGTCTCTTTCCAAATTTATCCTTCGTTAAATCGTCTTGTCTACCTTCTCTCTTTATTCTTTTTGGTTACTTTGAAATGGAATACATTTCTTGAAACACCTCCGGCATATAATATATAAACGTTAATCCATATGTTAGCTAAAAGGCAGCTTTTATGGATATGGCCTCGATAATGAAATCGATTCCAACGCACACTCTCATAGTGTGGTCTGCTTTTTCATAGTGTGGATTCTGCTGCGCATCAATAATATCTTTCAAGCGTGAAAAAAAATGATTATCCACATTACAATGAACTAACATTGCTGGCTCGATACGATATAATTAACGACCAACACAAAGTTTTTGATAAATTCGATAAAAAACCTTCCAGATCTTTACGAAATATATTGACTATGTTATTTTCCACTCGTCCGTTATCTTATGCTATGTCTTTACAAAACTACAGCTCGATCGGACGTTTGCAATTACATTTGCTATAAAACGTTTTCTAAACCTCAAAATGAAAGGCAAATCTCTGTACAAAGCCTGTTTACGACATTAACAAGTAGTTTCTAATATTTTCGAACGATCTAGAAGCTAAAATGAAATTAAAATCACTAAACAGATACAGATGATGACCTTGTTTTAATTTTAGATAGAAGACTCACGATTCTTTCATTTTTTTTTTGTTTCTTTTTTGCACTCCGATTGTCCTTTCTGATATCCTTGAACGTTGATATCGCTGAACGTAGAATATTTTTGTAAATTAAAAAATCTATTCGGAAAATTGTCGTAAATCTCGACTGTACAATCTTTTCATGAGTTCAACACAAAGTTCGTTCAAAGAAGAGTACCATACATGAAATGTAAGCCAAGAATCTTAACAATATTTCTCGAATGCTAGCACGAAGGTGGCAGCACGATCCGGAAGGTGAAAGTTCTTACAAAGAAAAGGGAAGGAGTGGTGGTGCATATATAGAGGGGCGAGAGGGCGCGGCTTGTCCAGACGCTTTCCATCCTGACGACGACGACGACCACGACCACGACGACAACGACAACGAACAATGTCGCCGAGGTTGATATTCCTCTTAGGAACCCTCTGTCTATTCGCCGGTGAGTACACCTCGACATTTGTCATCATCCTTTACCAACACATACGTCCTCTCTGTTTCAAAAATCTCTCTTCGTGATCATCTTTTATCTTAAAACATTAATTTTTCTTAAAAAAAAAAAAAAAGAAAAAATATGATCGTGAACATTTAAACCAATCTTTGAACTTCCCTCTTTTGTACTTTTCATCTTCATATACTGAGAAAATTAAATATCATCTCGAAGATAATTAAAGAAGCATAAGGATAATATTTTCCGATGGAGACTTTAACGAGTGGTAAAGACTCACTTCGATACTTTCCTCTTTCCGAATGATATTATCTATTCGTTTTATCGAGCTATAAAATAATGGAATATTTAATTGTTCAAACACGAGTATTATTTTTGTTGTTGTCTTTTATGATCCCTATTATTTCGATTAATAAACGTTTTACCGTCGCTCGTTAAAATATCGTTATCCTATCGAAAGAGATATGAAAAAATAGAGATAAAAATAAAGATAGATAGATAAATAGATAGAAAGAGAGAGAAAGAGAGAGAGAGAGAGAGAGAGAGAGAGAGAGAAAGAGAGAGGGAGAAGGTAAAAGAGAAGGAGGAAAGAACATACTTCGGATAACCACCATCGCTTTCCCCGTGCTCGCCCTGACATTTCCAAGACTTTCTACTTCAAGAGTTCGTCGACCTATCCCTAGCGTCTCCGACTTAAGAGTCGCACAACACGATCGCGACATTTTCCACAACTCTCGATCGTGATGTCTCCTACATACGAATGCCACGATATCGACGAAGAAATCGATATTCGTAACACGTATGTAAGTACGTTGAAAATAACAATGGAGAAGATGAGAAAGATGAAAAACAAAGGGACTTGAAGTTACAAAGGACATGTGCATGCCAATTAAAATTACTTCTCAGAATATTTTTATTATTTTATTCTTTTTCCTTTTTTCTTTTTCTTTTTTTCTTTTTCTTTTTTTGTTTTTTTAGATCAACTCAAGGGAAAATCAAAATCGTATCGAGTGTATAATTAAAATTTTGTTCATTTTTTTGCCGATTTGAAAAAAACACAATTACGTTTTCGTGACGTTTTTATAACAAAAAAAAATAGGAAAAGAACTAATTAATCTACGATAAAGTTTCGATCGATAATTTTAATAGAGGATTTATTTGCTTCCAGGAGCACAAGTAAGAGCTCAAGATGACGAAGGAGCTGATGAACTCGACGCAAATGCCGAAGAACTTTGCCATGATAGACCAGGAGACGAGTACTTCCGGTTAAACGTTGGAGGAGACTGTCGCGATGTCGTCAGGTAAATTTATAAACACATTTATTAGTTCTATCTTGTAATAAACATTAGCTCGACAAGTGATTACATATCTGTGTACTGAATATTCGATGTTCTATGGACTCTTTTAAATCATAAATGTAGTCTTTATAAACTGTACCAAGTCGGAGAAAGTTTACGACTGATTATAACTTTCGAGATGGTAAAATATTAAAAAATCTTCAAGTAACATAAATCTTTGTTGAATTAATGAATCGATTGTGCAACATTAACGAACTATTTCAAATAGAAAGTATGATATACGAATTTAAACGAAATAATATTTTCTACGTGATTTTACACTTGTAAATAAAATACTGTTGCTTAATGTGTGATTTATCGATCGGCATCTAATACACGTAAAAATAAAATAAAGGAAGCTACAAACGAGTAAACTTACATAACATGACTATCCAAAGAAACTGAAATAACAGTTTATGTACTTGCTTTCCTTTTCACTTACGATTAATATCCGGTATATATGATGTTTCAAATAAAACTAAATAAATTTTGATTTCTCGAGCGAAGAAAATTTATAATATGTGTAGGATAACTTTTTCGAAAGATTTTCTCGAACAATTAAGACATAGTCGGCAACTGCCATTTGAAATTTGCAATTATGTCGCATGCAATCTCTTTGAATGAGCTTTCTACAAAAGATGTTGCGTGCACCGATTGCTTCATCGTGTAACGAATTCTACTTACGAGAGTTCACTGTAATCCGGAATAGACAAAGTTCTGAGAACATTGTATGATTACATTAAATATATTTATATATTTATATATATATATATATATATATATATATATATTTCTCGAGTTTCTAATACCGAGTGGTTTTCTTTAAGTTATTTGATCTCCAAGATACAAGGGAGTTACGTTCTCAAGGACTCTAGATTAATTAATTATAGAAAGGAAACGAAAAATATATAATATTTCGAAAAAAAAAAGTATATCATCCTGTACAGGCCACCGCAATGATGATTTACATGTTTATGAGATATTTAAATAATGAACGTACTATTAAAATACGATTTGGGTAAAAATAATCGCAGGTGCGACAAAGCCAGTGAAATCGGCGTTACCAGGTTGGCAACAGTAAGATGTCCGACCGGTCTCGCTTTCGACATTGAACGGCAGACTTGCGACTGGAAGACAAATGTCAAGAACTGCGAACAACTGGAGAGTAAGCGAAATTCTTTTTATTTACCCCCTTAGACTGAAACGATTCCCTTTTCTGCGTTTGCCAGGTGTACAAGGTCCGGGCTGAAGCAAATCACGTGTCCCAGTGGGTTGGCCTTTGACTTGGACAAACAGACCTGTGACTGGAAGGGCAAAGTCACCAACTGTGACAAGCTCGAGAGTAAGTCGTAGAATCGGGTGGTGAGAATCGGAGCGACTTTATATTATTATGGTTCTTCATCTACGATGCATCGTGTCCCTTGTTTTATTTTATTTTATTCTCTTTTTTTTTCTTTTTTTTTCTTTTAACCTTATGTCAAAGTAAACACACTTTTCATTCGGGAAATTTTCTATCTATTCGAATTCACACTGAACTATCGTATCTTAGAAGTGTAGGATTAAAATATTATTGCAAAATACTTACCCACGATGGAATCGTTAACCTCTCTTGCGTAAGTCAATGAAAGGAACGCGAGAGAATCTGAAGAACCTAGAAAGCTCCGGTCTCTTTGTAGACTCATGACGTAGCACGCACTGAAAGATTACTAGCACTAACGCACTATAATCCTCGAATCTCTCGAGAATGATCAACGATCTTTCGATGACTCTAAGAAATTTTTTCCAAAAAAAATCTGAAAACCTACGTAAGAGATACATATATCATTTAATAAAATTTCGCAAGACGATAAAACAAACGATTAGAGCAACAAAGATCGGAGGAGATTCTCAAAACAAAACAAAAAAAAAAAAAAAAGAAAACGAAAGAACAAAAAAGAAATATATAAACATCATAATAACGCATACTCTAAATTCATATTTACTATTTTCTACATCTTTCGTACAATCTTACTAAATCATGCTTAACACGACTAATCAGTAAGAAAGCATAAGATTACGATCATTTGTATCATAACTAACATTAGCTTGTCGTCGAAAAAAAAGTCGATGAAAAAGAAGTTACTCAATTCAATTGCGTGGCACTACTAAAGACGGAACGAAGAGTCAGACAAGATCGTTCGTGACTCTTCTCTTTGGACTTTGATCGCGTTACGAGTTTGTCGTGATTTCACGGCGAACGATCTAAATTAGCAGTGGCACGCAATGATTTTCTAACGTCGAACGGCGCACACAAACGCTCCTTTCTCCTCATGATCGCTCCAGGTACGAGGTAGCACGCACTTATTTACCGATCTGTCCCCCTCTCTCTTTCTCTATCTCTCTCTCTCTCTTTTTCTCTCTCACACATTCACTTACTCACTTACTCACTCTCCACCTCTATTTCCTGACATCCAGATCGGTTTCGCTCCGACGATTTGGCCTCCTTATAAAAGAGCTCGTCGTTACTCAGACACTTCGAGTTCGCTTTTACTTCATCGAAAATCCTCCTTCGTACACATCTGATCAATCATTAATCGAAGAATAATTTGACATCTGGTTCATCTGGACATTTCGTTCTCTCTTTCTCTCTCTCTCTCTCTCTCTATCTCTCTCTTTTTCGCAAACACGTTATTGCTCCAAATTGATTCTTCAATCTGACTCGAAATAATTCTCGAGCAACATTCGTTTCGTTGGATATCCAGCATGCACAATGTTTTCATAAGATCTTTAATATCATCAAAAAGGAATAGTCAAAAAAAAAAAAAAAAAGAAAAATGGGGAGGAAATAACGTGTCAAGACAGCAAAGACCGCATGTCAAACAAAGCTTCTTCGTTCATGCATCGGACGCGAGAGAATATGTGATTAACACATCGTTCTCATCTGTGTGTGTGTCTCTCTCTTTCTCTCTCTCTATCTATCTATCTATCCATCTATCTATCTTATTTTCCATTTACTTTCTGTCTTCTTTTTTCTCTTTCATTTTTGTTCTCCACGACCTTTCTCATGAGAATACAAAATTCAAAGAACAGTCAAAAAGCTTGCGTGCGTCGTCGTGAGCCGACATAGCACTCGAATCACAACCACCTTCCTCTCGAGTGAAAAATAAATGCTTATGACTTTTGAAAAAGGACAAACGATATGACGAAAACACGAGACGAGACTTAAAGTCAAGGCTCTTTATATAGCTAGGATTTTATTTGAACGATTAAAAAGAGAAAGTAATAGGAATGTGAAATTTTTCGAAAGGAACCTGCCAGAAAAGAACAACCAAATCCTATGTATATATATACATAAACAAGTAAAATTAGTATTACTACTACTGCTAATGCTAATACTACCACAACCTGCAACGTTCTCCCTGGTTATATACATATATCGGATAATTATTTCTTTTCGTAAAATAATTGAAAACTGTCGGTAAAGTTGTTTTCGGTAAAAGATAAGCTTTGGAAATGGGTTAGAATTAATTTAAGCACGATGTCTAAGCTTCGTAAAAATACAGACAAATATTTTGAAAGAACGGTATCCATGCCTATCGCCGCTCTACATCGAAGCGTCGATGCGTGTAAATATAAAATGGGAAGTACAAGTAGTATTGGGCCTTGATTACACACTTCTTACAACGATGTATTACACACTGGTGACCTAATTCGAAAGCCCGCCGCTGTAGATCGGACCTTTGAGTTCCCCTCTCGAGACATTATTAATCGAGAGTTACGTTTGCAGAGCCACGTAAGGTCTTACCCATCTTAAAAACCGACGAACCAGTTTGCCCAGATGGAAAGTTGTCCTGCGGAAACAAAGAGTGCATCGATAAGGAGCTCTTCTGTAACGGCAAGCCTGATTGTAAGGACGAGTCTGATGAAAATGCTTGCAGTAAGTAATAATTTCAAAAATTCCATTTATTCAAAATAAAATGAAAAAAGTGTGATCTAATCGAGATCGATGATTTCAGCCGTCGAAACTGATCCAAATCGTGCACCAGATTGTGATCCAACACAATGCGTTTTACCAGATTGTTATTGTTCCGCTGATGGTACTCGTATTCCTGGTAACATCGAACCCCAACAAGTTCCACAGATGATTACAATAACATTTAACGGAGCAGTAAATGTTGATAACATCGATCTTTACGAAGAAGTTTTCAATGGTCAACGACAGAATCCTAATGGTTGCCAAATACGTGGTACCTTCTTTGTCTCTCACAAATACACCAACTATTCAGCTGTTCAAGATCTTCATCGACGTGGTCATGAAATCGCAGTTTTCTCTCTCACTCACAAAGATGATCCACAATACTGGACTCAAGGTACCTACGACGACTGGTTGGCTGAGATGGCCGGAGCTAGACTTATCATCGAACGTTTCGCTAACATTACTGATGGATCCATCATCGGTATGAGGGCTCCATACCTCAGAGTAGGCGGTAACACGCAATTCGACATGATGGCCGATCAATTTTTCGTTTATGACGCCTCCATCACAGCTTCCCTAGGGCGTGTACCAATCTGGCCATATACTCTATATTTCCGTATGCCTCACAAATGTAACGGTAATGGTGGAAACTGTCCGTCGAGATCACATCCGGTTTGGGAAATGGTAATGAACGAGCTCGATCGTAGAGACGACCCAACCTTCGATGAATCTCTACCCGGTTGTCACATGGTCGATTCCTGTTCCAACATTCAAACTGGCGAACAATTCGGCAGACTTCTCAGGCACAACTTTAACAGGCATTTTAACAGCAACAGAGCACCACTCGGTCTACACTTCCACGCCTCGTGGTTAAAGAGCAAGAAGGAATACAAAGAAGAACTGATCAAATTCATCGAGGAAATGCTCGCTAGAAGCGACGTTTATTTTGTTACTATGGTTCAGGTGAGATATGAACGTAATTTACAAAGTCAAATTTAGAAAAATAAATCTTTAGAGAGGAAATATCTTTTTTTTTTTGTTTTATGTTAACGAATCTCCTTTTGTTACTCAGGTTATTAAGTGGATGCAAACGCCGACCGAACTGTCAGCATTGAGAGACTTCCAAGATTGGAAGGAGACTTGTGATGAAAAGGGTCAACCTTATTGTTCCTTGCCAAATGCTTGTCCACTTACAACTAGAGAACTTCCAGGCGAAACTTTGCGTCTTTTTACTTGCATGGAGTGTCCTAACAATTATCCATGGTTACTCGATCCGACTGGCGATGGTTTTGCTGTAAAGAAATGAACAATGGACTGAAAGTTGCTCGATTTTGCGTCGAGACGCGCGATTTTTCAACGAACGAATGAAACAAAAAAAAAATAATAAATAGAAAAGTAATACAAGCAGGGAAAATAGGTCTCCGGAAGAATCTTCGTGTGCATTTGGAAGCAAGCTCCGGTCGACTCGGAACTCCCCTATAGCGAAGAAAGTTAAAAAACAAAACAAAAAACTCTCTCGTTGCATAAATACGAGACTATAGAAAGTTTTGACACAGGACATTTAGTTGAAACCATTCCGATCTCATCGAACTCGTGCGATCATCTTGCTCTTCTTGCCTGATCCGCGCCCTGGCTTCGTATTTTCGTACTTTTCCTCTTTTTTTTCTTCTTTCTTTCTATTTACGACATATCGTGCACAGTGTATCGATAAGTTAGCGAAGTGAAAAATTATTTGTTGAAAATAATATGTATTTATAATTGTACATCATCGTGAATAAAGCGTAAAATCAATTTCCTGTTATTTTATAAATAATGACTCGATGATTTTCTTTTGTACATTTTAAAATAAAATTTTATCGATCCATCGCGAAAATATTTTTGTTCGAATTAACTATATGAATGAACGAAATCCACGCAAAATACATACACGAATCTTTCATTATCTATCTGATATGAAAAGAATTTTAATCTTTATTATTTATTACTTAAGAATTTCAACGATGGCTTCATAACATTCATTTACATAATGGGTATAACTGATTAAAATAAAGGTTCTTCAAGAATTCGATAACGTCATCTCCATGTTTAAATTTTCATCTATAAAATAAAATCTTATTCATCAAAAGCGATGAAAAATTAGACCCATATTCATTGTTGACTGATTTCAATAGTTTTTATGAAAACTTTAATAAATGACAAATAATCAATCTACTGTTGACTTTCAAGTAGTAAACATTGCAGCTATCTTATTTACTACTTACAGATCAAAATGAACAATACCTTCTATTATTCAACATTCATTTAAGATTTGCATAGCAATGTATTGTACTCTACTAATATAAATAATTACATAACAATAATTTTTAATAACTAGATCTATAAGATACAAATCGATTGTTCGTTTAATTGTAAGAATTTATTAATATAAATAAATAAATATATATATATATACAATCATATTAAATCAAAATTAATAAACAACATACCAGAATAAAAAAAGTCAATTCTTTTATTCTATTTCAAAAATATTTCTTGTTTGTGTATTGTCAACAAAATAATAACAGAACAATCGATAACTAAACATAGGCATACATATACATTTTAATGCTAGATAAAGTAAAATTCACATACGAAAAAAAGATCAAAAACATATATCCTTCAAGAACTTATATTTATCAAAATTTTGTCCTATGATTTGTTTTTTTTTTTTTTTTTTATAAAAGGATACTTTTCTTAGTAATTTCAAATATCTTAATGTACTACTTTTAAAATTCAGAAAGATTTTATGACGGTTCGTACTAGAACGGATTAAATTCCCCGAGATATTGAATAATTAAATTATTAATCCTTTCATATCGAAATCTAGGATATTCCTGACAATGTACTTTTATTATAGTGTCATTTGATAGAGGACGCGCCTGCGCATTCACTAATCCAGTATTACCAACATATAACTTTACACAACTGTTGAAAGATATTCGACAAGGATATTATTAACCTATAACAACTAAAGTTTTGACAGAATTAATCTAACTAACCATCATAAAGACGTATAAAACTTCAAAATGCCTATTTTGGATAAACGAAAAGGTGATGACATCTTAGCTTTGGTACCTGCTTCAAAAAGAACCAAAAATGAAGTCGTCTTCAGTAGCAGAGAAAAAGCAGTGGTTCAAAGCGTGAGTTTAATTTCATTATCTAATACTCTTATGTTCTCTTAGTTGATTTACTCAGATTTTCATTTAATATATGATTGTATAACTTTTAATGTAATTTTAAGGGACCACCAAGAACATCATCGTTAATGGCTCCTATCATGCTTTTGGAAGGACATCAAGGCGATGTTTTTTCACTTGAGTTTCATCCAGAGGGCCAGTATCTTGCATCTACTGGATTTGATCGACAAATCTGTATATATACTGAATTATTATTTATTAAATATATATATATATAATATTATTTTAATGAATATACTAATATATTTTTCATTTTTATGCAGTTATTTGGAATGTTTATGGGGAATGTGAAAATATCTCTACAATGACTGGTCATAGTGGAGCAGTAATGGAATTGCATTTTAGTCCGGATGGAAGTAATTTGTATACGGCTAGCACAGATATGACTTTAGGTTTATGGGATATAGTGGTAGGCACAAGAATTAAGAAATTAAAAGGACATACATCTTTTGTTAATTCTGTATCTGGAGCTAGAAGAGGACCTACGCAATTATGTTCAGGTAGCGATGACAGTACAATACGCGTTTGGGATCCAAGAAAAAGAGGACAATGTTATACATTGAATAATACGTATCAGGTATTGTTTATTAAAATCTATTCAATATTATATAAAAGAGATTATATATTATTTGTAAAACTTATCTTATATCATCTGCAGGTAACTTCAGTAACATTTAATGATACGGCAGAACAAGTAATAAGCGGTGGAATTGACAATGATATTAAAGTATGGGATTTGAGAAAAAATTCAATCCTTTATAAATTGAAAGGACACTCCGAAACTATTACTGGATTAAGTCTTAGTCCCGATGGTTCGTATATTCTGTCAAACGCCATGGATAATACTTTAAGAATATGGGATGTAAGACCTTTTGCTCCATACGAACGTTGTGTCAAAATTCTGTCTGGTCATCAACATAATTTCGAAAAGGTATAAAAACGCAAGAACTATAAATGGTATGTAGTTAATAAAAATAAAATTTGCTTAATTGAAATATTGATTTATAGAATCTTCAGAGATGTGCATGGTCTCCAGATGGTAGTAAAGTATCAGCCGGATCATCAGACAGATTTCAATATATTTGGGATACCACTAGTCGTAGAATATTATATAAATTACCTGGACATAATGGTTCTGTAAATGATGTTGATTTTCATCCAAAGGAACCAATAGGTAATATTTTATTTGATCATACACTTTAAAAGCATATATATATCAAAATATAGAACTATGTAACAAAGTAATTATATTTTTCAGTGTGCTCTGGATCAAGTGACAAACAGATATATATAGGAGAAATCGAAACATAATCAATATTTTATAAATTATACTTTTGTATATATAAACGAGTATTTCGATTTGTCTTTTATTGAAAAAAATAAACATAAATTAGTTATCATCGCATATAATATACATATTCGTCAGTCGATAATATTGTTTTCTTGTTTATCATCGGCGCAAAAATTTCGATTGAATGAATGTGATACTGACATCTGTAAACGTAGTTCTGTACCATACACTTTGAGCTTTATTGCATTTATTGTTATGTTGCTTAAGAAATAAAAATAATAATAGCCCCATAACATAGTCGAAACTTTAGAGTTTATATAACATGTGTTTTACCCATTAAGAGACATTATTCCTTTAGGAGACATTACAATGAAACATTACTTTGAGAAAAAATTGTTTCACTGCGATCGTATGAGACAAAATAGGATTGAATAGGATCGAATACGACAGAATAAGATCGCACAGAACCGAATAGATACGAACAGAGTCGAATAGATTTGAATAAGACCGAATAAAACCGCGTAGATCAAATGGGATCGAATAGGTTCTAATAGGATCTAATAGAATCAAATAAGACCAAATAGGATCAAATAGAGGCAAATAGAATCGAATAGGTTTGAAGAGGAGTGTTCAAACGTACAGGATAAATAGGACTGACTAGGATCGAATGGAATTGAATATGAATTGAGTAAGTTTGAAAAATAGATACTGAAAAAATCGTCTCTGATCGGGATAGAATAACTTTGGCAATCTTCGAATATCTTTGACAATTTTGAGATAAGACTGACAGTACTCAAAGATTGCCGAAGATCCTAAATGCAACCTTAGACCAAACTCCGGATAAAACATTAGACAAAATCTAAAACCTCAGACAAAAATTCGGACAGAATGTGAATCGAATTTGATCGAGCCGGGCTAAGTTGAGTCAAATCGGGCCGAGTCAAATTAAGCTGAGTCAAGTCGAGCCTAGTAAAATCGGGCCGGATCGGACCAAATCAAACTGGGCTAAAATGAGCTGGGCTGGATCGGGCCGAATCAAATCGATCCGATTCAATTCAATCCGACTCGATCCGATTAATTTCGACCCGACCACAGAAAATTTTACGTCCTTTTCTTTGACTTGATACTATTAGCTTTTATTCGGTTCGATTGGGACTTATCCAATCCTATTTTGTCCTATTCGATTCTCTTCGATCCTATTCAATCTTATTCGGTATTATTTGATCCTATTCTATCCTCTTCAATTCTATTGGATCCTATTCGATCCTATTTGGTTTTATTCGCTGTTATTCGATTTAATTAGAGTCTGTTTGATTCAATTTGATTTTATTCAGTCCTATTCGATTTTGTTCTTTCTTGTTCCACATTTTTCGATCCTACACTTCCTTGTTCTATTTTGTTCAAGTATTATCCTGGATTTTTTTATTGGTTTTCAAGGAATTGTTTCCAAATATCACACTAAAAAAATATTTCTTTTTTGTACTTTTAATTCTTAATCTACCTTTCTGAGAACTATATGTAGCAGAACTAGCTTGTGGCTTTTTTGTTTTGTTTCGTTTAAATATCTTCAATAGTAAATGAGAAAAAATTGATAAAGTTTAGGATTTTATTTTTCATATTACTCTTAAAAGAAAGATTAAAGATTTGAAATTTTCTCAAAATGATGCTATTGGCAAGGATCATTGTTAAAATAATGACAACAAAAATTGACCCAATCCACTTTTGCGTGCTAATCCTGTTAAACGATTTATAGATATTTTAACAATTAAAATATATGCAGTTTTTCAAGCGAATTTTTTAGTTTATTTTTTTTTTTTTTTTTTTTTTTTTTTTTTTTTAATATCATTATTATCAAAATTATATTCTAAAATGTTTTAAATTTACGAATATATTTTAGTTTTTATTGAAATTTTAATTTCAGTGAATAATGATGGAAGGCACTTTTTTTGCACATGATAAGTATACTTATCATAAAAAAAAATTGCTATCACTTCATGACGAGTATACTCGTCAAACACGATGACAGCTGAAGTTTTGTCAATAATATAAACGAATTTAAACAATAAAATTATTAATTTTTTTAAAACACCAACTACCATTTTTTCATTATAATTGAATTCAATTTTACAATAGCTGCATATACTCTCTGTTTGACAAATATATTCCTCATCTTTTAATTTTTATACAACGTAGATACACATTTTTAAAATGCTATGCAGTTAATAGGTTAACCGAATTACATAGTTGAAATTATTAGATTGGTCAAATTTTCTATTCGATCTTTCATTTTTAATTGAATGTATAGATCATACACATTATAAAAACGTTCATTTCGAAGTACCTGTAACACTACGTGCATCAAATAGAGTCATGTGTTATTCACTATGGTACCTATTAATGATTACACGTATTCGAGGATCACGCGAAATTTCGAAGTGCCTTTTATTAACACTCGACGAATTCTCTTTCTATCTATCTCTCTCTATTTCTGGAATACGCAGTCGTTCATTATGCTTCTGAAATTATATATTTGTTGTTAGGAAAATGTAATTATTCATCGTTCAACGTCAAATCCCATGTAATGGACTCTACTCCATTCTTATGGGAAACTATCTTTCTACAGATTTGTCTAATGTTTGAATATATTGTAATTCTTTAATCATTCTGAACAAATATCTTGATCCTATGGTTCATTTCCGCGCTACAAGCCCTGGAACATCGTTATCCAAATCAATAAGTGTTCACTGAAAAATTATGAAAATTAATGTTATTTTATTATTTTCATGCTTTTTTTGTTACGTAATTAAAATTTTAAAATAAACATTCGTTTTGTTTTTTTAACTCATATTTACTTACTACATAAAAGCAATATATATACTAGCTATATCTATTTAATTAGTTATTATTAATATTTACCTACTCTATAAATTAATCAAAGTATTCCGTTAAAATTTTAGGATTTATAAAGTCATAGGAAAAGTTTAGGAAACTCTGCCCTAGAAAATCCAGATTTAACATATCAGATATAGGCTTTTCGACTGGATTTATGTGACCTTCAGTCGAATGTGCTTGCGCAAATGCGTACATGCGTACATGCGTATGTGTATGTATAAGTTTAATATATTTTGATACTATAGTTTATATCGAGTGTTCAAAATGAAATATTACAAATTTTTATATAATAATTTACATAATTTTTACATAAATTCCTATAAATTTTTATAAGAGTTTATATTTTTTATAATGGCAATTATAATGTTATTTATTCTACATAAAAAAAAAAATAAATAAATAACTTCTGTTCGAAATTTATCCATTCTCAATTTTCTGAAATATTTGACAAAATATCTCACAATTTTTAAGAAAAAGTACAAAAGATAAAAAATGTTTCATATATAAACAAATTTCTTATATTTATTTATTTATACGCTTTAATGTTTACATTAACATGCACACACATGCATTTACATGACAAAAGTAGGAAATAATAAACACAAATTAAACACTTCGTGTTTCATATACAATAGTACACAGATAATCCTAAGAATTAAATTTATTAAATTTAATTATTTTAATTATATATATTATTAAAACATTTTTTATCTCTTGTACTTTTCTTTAAGAACTGTTGGTTATCGATATTTTTTAAATTTCAAAAGTGTGAAGATGTTTATTTGGTTAAATATCTCGAAAAATTAAAGGTGAACGAAAGAAGATATTTCAGAAAAAAACACGTTTTTTTTATGTAGAATATATGAAAGATGTAGATTCTAATGTAAAAAAAAAAAACAAATGAAGTTGATTCACAAATATTAATCTTATATTCTAAGATTTATTACTTATCAGATATTATCAGATTAGAAGAAATCTCGTACAAATAAAATCATTTTCATGTGATTATAGAAGGTTTTGCGATATGAACGTATTCTTCTTATCGCAACTCAAAATCGGAACAACTACATAAAACATCATATCTAACATTCTCCTTTAACACAATAAAATGAATAAATACTATTCAACACATAAGAAAGTCTGATCATTTTTTGATAAATAAATAAAAAAGAAAGAAAGCGAACTTTGGTCCCAAAGACAGAATGAAAGCATAACTACGTAGAATGAATAGGCGGGACGAGAGGTAGAGATTGGTGTCGTCGACAATTTGGAGGCTCGCCGTGTGTCTCCTTGATTGTACGACAAGATGATCGTAAAAGAAGAGAACGTAAATACTAGAAAATGCGAAGCAAAAGAAAGAAAAAGAAAGAGAGAGAGAAAGAGAGAGAGAGCGAAAGAGTGAGAGAGAGAGAGAATGTGTGTATGTGTGGACAAATAAGAGGGAGGAGTACGAAGAGGGTCGAAGTTACAGGATGCTCGAGGCGTTTGGGGCATTCGGGGCGCGCCGTGACGGCATGACGTATCGAGCGTGCGCGGCACGCAGTGTGACGTCATGATCACGGCCTCAGTCAGGTCGCGAGCACGTGAACAACACGCCTGTGATCACGCGTTGAACGACTGATCGGTCTTACAGGATTGGTCGAATATGGCGAGCCCCTCCACACTATTGGCCAACAAACTACACGGCCACATGATCAGACGCAACTAACTGAGCACACGTCGGGACTACCGACCTGAGAAAGCTTCATTGCGCTACCAGACGTCCGTTAGATTGAGTTTGCACTCTCATTTTGTACTACGCGAGCTCATTACATTTCCGTAAATGAGAAAACGTTGGTGCATTGCAGAATAAGCTTAGCGTTAATTTTGAACTTTATTATAAACGGAGCTAAGAAAAGATGGACGCAAATCAAACTCTCTTGTCTCCACCAGCCTCGCCCCAGTTTAAGCACGTAAGTCTAAGCAAAATTAAATATACCGCCGTATAATCTGTCGACCGATGCCCGCGAAATACGAACATGTTTCTGAAACACGTTTTCGATGTCGCGTAGTAATACGGATTTTCATTACTCCAACGATGTTGAATTTTATTAACGCTAATTTCATTAACTCATTTATTTTTTCCTCCTTGATATTTTTGTTGTATTTTATATATTCTGGTTAAACTATATATATTTTTATCCTGCGCTTATTTATTTCTAATGATTTTAAATCTCCTACATTTGATCAAATCGAGAAAAAAAACAAAATTTAAGATATATTCTTTTATTACTACGTAGAAAGAACTCGGGTAGATATAAATTTCTCTTTCGTCGTTTCTTTCTTCGTCGATAAAAAGAAGGAAATTAACTCGTAAGAAATGATAACTTATATTCCCATTTATTCTTGCAGATCGAGCCACTACAGTCGTCATTCAGTGTCGCAGCTTTGTTAGGAGACAAGCTATTGCAAAAGACGGCGATGACCGCAAAGGCGGAGGTGGCGAAGGCGGCGGAGGAGGCGGCAATGACGATGGCAACCGAAGCGAATGCGACAAAGCGCGATCATGAAAATCCGCAACTAAACTTGCCTCTTACTCCTCAGCCCTCCGATTCGGAGGAAGATGAGCCGCCACGGAAACGACGTTACGTTGAACAATGCGAATTGGCCAAGGTAAATATATATGTAAATTTAATAAATACACAAATGCTAATTCTTGATGTCCAAACATTCATTTGAACTTTGAATACATAAAGAAACTACTTTCTCTAAGATAAACTTTTATTCTTACAGTTGCTTCTTTATGGAACACCACCGCCCAGTCCCGAGGCAACTCGAGTGTCAGTCATAATGCGCGCCAATCGTGACGGAACTTGCAGTCCAGCCAGTATACCTACGAAGCTGCCCGATTCTTGCCCGTCTGAATGGGTACCGAGTACGATAATACAGCAACGTACCGTAGAAAGCAACAGTAAGAGTTCGGACGTGCGTCCGAGCGGTAACTCGACGGAAGTAAACGTCTTGAAAAGTCTCAAGTTTAAAATGAGCTTGAAAAAGGAGGAGATAATCGTGAATAACAAGAATACCGATCGTGAGATCGGTCAGACCAAGTTGCAACCACTTGCCCCAAAACCAGCACCAATCATGGTAACCGGAATTTTAGGATCATCATTGGTATTACCACAGACTCCGTTATTGTTGGTCACTGCGAGCACGTCAAATCGAGCTAATACCGTAGGAACAAGAGGAAATGTTCACTGCAATGAATCAGCGGCACGAAGACGCGTCTATGAATGTGAATATCCTGGCTGCGGCAAAAATTATTTCAAATCTTCTCATCTGAAGGCACACATGCGCACTCATACCGGAGAACGTCCCTTTCCCTGTCCATACGAGGACTGCAACAGACGTTTTTCACGCAGCGACGAACTCTCCAGACACAAAAGAACTCACACAGGAGAAAAAAAATTTGCTTGTACGATTTGCCAGAGAAGATTCATGAGGAGCGATCACTTAGCCAAACACGTTAAACGTCATACCAGGGAAAGGACTTCCTCCTCATCTTCGAATAGCAATGGTAGTAATCAAATACAAACGGCATCTGGTGTTAGGCTTAGTATCTTGCCTGTTATAGCACCAAGAATAACACCGCCGGCTCATCGAATTCTACCGCCACAGCTTGCAGCCTGACAGCAGCAAAGTTGATGTTTTGTTGGAATACTTTTTACAAAAAAAAAGAATCAAAGGGTAAAGAAACGTCGAATATGCGTTTCCTTCTTATCCCTCAAATGGAAGCTATTTGCAGATAGTGGTAACCTTTTCGGGTTACCTTCTTAAAGTTCAAAAATCTGACGTCGAAAAATCTTGTCGGATAATCTTTCTGACGTGCTTCTAAAAATCTTTCATTCGTGAAGGAATTATAAAATATGAGAAGATGTACTTAATGACGAAAGTCAGAGAAATATAGAAAGAGAGCGAAGTAGAGGAGAAGAGTATTGAACCAAGTACCTAAGTGTGTCTGTGATCTGTGATCGTTGTCTTTGACTGATCGTGAAATAAAGAGTATTTATTTAAAGGAAATAAACGATTTAAACGATACATGTAAATAACGGATATGTTAACGAGCTATGCCAATATTATGACTTTGTTAACGATCGTCGATAGGCATTATAATTATAGATTATATATCAGCGCCCAAGGAGAAGGTAATAAAATACCTTTTTTTCCTTGCAACAATGTAAGACTTCTTTAATATAAAGATAAAGAATTTTTATACACAAATGGAAATGAATTAAATTACTTCTATACTTTCATAAATCAATGTAGTTAAGGATTTTTTTTGCCGCACCTTATCCTGCTTTTTCCCAATCGATAGATCATTGTTTTCTTTCGATGATACTTTTAACTATACACTAGATAATGTATAAATTATCTCGTAAAATATTTTTGATGGAAATACAAAAACAATATTTTATTCTATTAAAAATCGTTTTGAAGTTTCCAAACAATCCAATATCTTCATGCAACTCCAGTAATATAAAAAAAAAATCTAAGATCCCCACGCCGTATACTTTCTTTACATATAATAAACACGTACGTCATCATTAGGTACATACATCATGAATAAGGAATATGCTAAATACATTTATAACATTCATTGATGATTCATAAAGAAGTTTGCCGTAGAAAAATAATTTCCCTTTTATTTTGTATCAGCCACGAAAAGTTTCCATCACGCGTTATGCGAACGATCAACAATTTTAACGCGCGTGGATACGTAGGTACTACATATGATATCGGACATCATCGATTAATATCCATATGACTCAAATTGAAGATATCCGAAAAAATGATCAAATTGAAAAAATACATAGTTATGCAATTATTTTCTTTCACAACTAGATACTAGTTAAAAATGTGCATTACACGCGTGAAACAAGTTTCGAAAGAATTTGATATTTCAAATAGAAACTTTCTCTTTATACATATATTTTTTTTTGCTTTTATCTTCCTTTTTTTAATTATTTTTTGTTTTGTTATCAAGAGAATAGAAATACTTGTTATAAATACGAACGAATGTAAAAGTAACACGATACTATACCGAGCCAATGATAAGTTGTTGCGTACATATTTGTGCATATTAATAAATAACGCTGATAAAATCGTTCGATAACATTACATAACACGTAACACTAATCGAATTCGATTGTATATGTTGAGAGAAAAAGTATATTATTAATAGCATATAATCGCAAATATAAACAGAAGGTAGTACGAAAGTCAACATTTTTTCATTGATACGTGATCGGAATGACAGCTATTTTCGCCCCATAATCACTCATGTCTCCAGACCTTAAACAATGTCAATAGAATGTTATCAGACGATGGTGCGATAACAAGTACGAATACGTGTTAAATCTATTAATTGTATTATATTTCCATAAATCAACCGACATACGTCGAATTATTATATAAATTTCAGAAAGTATTTGCTTTAAACTGATCATTACTTCCTGATATTTCTAAACGACGGTGAATCACGATTATGTTCCGTTTTTGTCTTTAAAAGCTAATTACATATGTCTATAAATAATATGTTTTGGTGTTGATAATTACAGATCTTTTATCTTCTTGCAAGAGCTTGAAAACGAACGTAACGATAAAAGAAAATCGATAAATTATAGACTTCGGAATCTTTGGTAGTCGTCGAATCTATTTTACTCTTGATGTTCTTTAGTTTACTAGAATAGAGTAATAATTTACCGGTCAAACGAGAGAAATCTTATCAAAGGTATCTCATGAAATCTCCTGCTTTCTTGCATCAGCCAAGGACTTGGTCTCTTTTAACGTCATATATATTATAACCAGGCACAGGAAACTTGTAGATGATGCAAAATGTCTTACCGATTACCTGTACACATTTATATATATATATATATATATATATATATATATATATATATATATATATATATATATATATATAAAAAAATATATATATATAAAGATTTCTTTTTATAAAGGTTATCTGTAAGAAAAAAATTTATGTAAAAAAAAAAGCTTTCCATAGCGTTAACAGATTTTCGATGAATAAAATTATATACTTTGCAGATGTACCATACTAAAGAAAAATAGATATATAAATTAATATAATTGCTTAAAAAAGTGTTATATATATTAAAAAAAAAATTTTAACTGCAACATTTATTATAAGTACGAATAAACGAAAAAAAAAACAGTTATTTACTCTTCCATAATTAATATTAACATTTAAGATAGGTAAAACGAGCTCTTCTTTTTAACAACGTGCACTTAATTATTCATGAAAACAAAAGTGCAATACTCTTCTGATGTTGCATCAAATTATATTTCCGTCTTTACGTATGTATATTCATACTGAGGAAGTAAAAAATATATACAAAACAGGTTTACTGACATTGCTATGCGATTAATAATTGATTCTCATTTACAAGCATAAAACATTTATAAGATATTGGTAGTGAATGCATTGAATAATCATATTTCTAATAATTATATAATAAAATAATAGTACTATATTTCATTAGAATATATTTTCAATAAACGTGTATATAGTTTATTAACTTTCTACAAGAATAAATTTATTATAATTTGTATATACACGTACATATGAAAAATACATAATAATATAAGATGATCATATAAAAATTACAAAAGATTTTATAAACTATATAACAGTATAAATTGCTTTGTTAGATAATAAAATAGCAACTATAATGTTTAAACATACTGTAAATAGTTTGGTAGTATGTAGTGCACATTTGGAAAATAAATACTCGTGTATTTAATTTTAAATAAATGTTAAAAGTATTAGACATTTTTATTATTTATAGAATTTTTTCGTCGAATCAGATGCCATATCATATAATGTTTGGCATGGTTTAAAAGCAAGGCCATAATGACTTTGGAATTCTTCCATTTTTTTCACCAAATTGTGTGCTCCATATGAATCTACCCATCTAAAAGGTCCTCCAGTGAACGGTGGAAAGCCTAATCCAAAGACAGCACCCACATCTCCTTCCAACTAGAAACGATTAAAGTTATGCGTTATCATATAAAACAAATAAAATCTTATAAATTATTAAAATTACTTACAGAATTTGCTAAAATATTCTCTTCTAAACAAAGTACCGCTTCGTTGACAAATCGAGACACCATTCTCATTTGACGATCTTCAAAGGAAGTACTTCCTTTAGATTCACTTGCATACTTTTTCAAAATATTTAATGCCTCAAGATTAATATCTTTGTTCTTCGTATTCTTTTCGTATACAAATATGCCTTTGCCCGATTTACGGCCTAGTAATAAAAAGATATTTTATAATTTAGTAAATTAATAATAAAATAACGATGAGCAAACAAATGTAAGCAATTACCAAGGAAACCAGCCTTGACCATATCTGACATGATATTCGGATTTCCTCCTGTAAAACGTTCACCCAAAGCTTTTCGTAAATACACACTAATATGTGCTCCTACATCGATACCCACTTCATCAGATAAAGTTGCTGCACCTACAGGAAATCCGAATGATTTGGTCAACTTATCCAAAACTACAGGATCAACACCTTCCTATATCCAAATATTACATTATTCATACAAACATTACTAATTAATTAATTAAATTAATTAAATTATATAGAATTTTTAAACAATTAAGCAAACAATAATATTTCTTCACCTGCATCAATCTAATTGCTTCTGAGATCATGGCAGATAGTATTCTTGTGGTATAAAATCCAGGTCCATCTCCAACCGTGATAACAGTCTTACCTTGTTTCAAACCAACTTCTACAGCTGTTTTTATAGTTTCATCTGCTGTACCTTTATGAGTAATTATTTCCAATAATTGCATCTTATCTACTGGTGAGAAATAATGCATGCCAATCACCTATATACAATAAATATATTATTATATATTAAATAAAAAACCATTTAACTTTATTTCATAATAATAATAATAGAAAGTATACTTTTTCTGGTCGACTACTTCCAGCAGCAATCTGCGTAATAGGAATCGCAGATGTATTCGTTGCGATAATACAATATTCTGGAGCATGAGCCTCAATTTCTTTTATGACTTTATGTTTAATAGCTATATCTTCAAATACTGCTTCAATAACTAGATCTGAATTTTTGAATGAATCATATTGTAATGTGGGCACAAGATTAGCCAAAAATTTATCCTTTTGAATTCTGAAAGATATGTTATATTTTTAAATTCTTATTATAAAATATTATTTATTTTTATACAAACTTTGTAAGACGGTGTCTTTTGACAGCATTATCTAAACCCTTCTGAATTTGACCCACTCCACGAAACAATCCAGCTTCATTAGTATCTTTCAAAATAACATCATATCCTTTATCAATGCTTACTTGTGCAATACCTGCACCCATCAAACCAGCACCAATAATGGATAATTTTCTGCGCATATATAATAAACATTATTCTCATAAATATGAAAACTAATTTATAAAATAAAGACGTACTTAACAGCATTCTTTGGTACTCCAAAACGATTTTTTTTACAAGCAGTCTGCCCGAAAAAGAGATTTGTAAGACCTTTGCACTGTGGAGTAATTGCTAATTGACCAAACGCCTTAGCTTCTGCTTCATAACCTACAGTTAATCCTTTATCTATACCCGCACGAACTACTTCTAAAATTTTCAAAGGTGCAGGATATAGTCCTCCTGATATTTTCATAACTTGATTTTTTGCTCTTTTAAATATTTGATCTTTTACAAACTCAAAAGTTAGAGCATAATCCATAATTTTTTTTTGTATTGATTTTGAATTACGATCAATTTTTAAATTTCCATTTGCTATATCTTTTGCAGCTTTTATAGCATTTTCTTCCAAATAATGTATAGTACTGTAATAAAGCATCCATAATCATTCATATTTTATATTAAGTTTAAATCATATATATTTAATAATATGCACAATTTATATATGTTTTATGACCTTCCAGTTATTTTCAACATACTTTTCTTCAGATGATGCCACACCTGGACCAAGGCGGTTAACCAGCATATCTACTAATCCAATTGTTTTAGCTTTCTTTGCTTTAAGAGTTTTGCCAGTAAGAGTCATATCAAGCGTGTTTGGAATAGAAATAAGTTTAGGCAAACGTTGTGTACCGCCTGCACCCGGAAGAAGGCCAACCATTACTTCTGGTAAACCTAGACCAGTTTTGGTATCATTAACAGCAATTCGATAATGACATGCCAATGCAACCTACATAAAAAAAAAAATTAAAATAAAAATTTCAACAAAATGTTTTCACAATCAATATTTTTTTCTATTTAATACAAACAAAAAAAACTATTAAATATACCTCTAAACCACCACCAAGACAACTTCCTTGAATAGCTGCTACAATTGGTTTTTTACTTTCTGCTATATTATTTAAAATTTGTTGACCAGTTTTAGATATATCGTAACCATCTTTTTCAGTTACACATTTTTGTAACATAGTCAAATCTGCACCTGCAATAAAACTACCTGGTTTTCCGCTTATCAAGACAGCAGATTTAACAGCACTGTTATTCTCTATGTCTTTCAAAATTGCAGTTATTTCTTCCATTACTTCTGAGTTTAATGTATTTACCTATTACAAATATCTAAATTATTAAAATATTTTAGTTAATTATTAAAAAATTATATAATACTAATTTAGTCTCCATTAAAAATTTATCATATCCTAAATTAATATAGTATTCGCAACTATATTTCATATATACCTTTAATATTTTTTTTAAATATTTGAATAAATTCTATAAAAAAATATAAGATACAATATGGTACCTTAGTTCCTGGGGAATCTAAAATAATAACTGCTACATTGTCAACAACTTTACATTTGAAATGCTTTTTGCTTGACATGCTTGTAAATGTTCTCAAAGGTTGTATTGTCGCTGCAAGAGTATTAAACAATAAATATAATTCATTCAAATACAAATATAAATATTTTTTTAATATATAAATATTAATTTATATTAATTATAAATATTAATTATATTAATTATATATACATATATTAATTTATGCAAAAGTTTCTTCATTTTAATTTATTCATTAAATTAAAATGCACATCAAAAAATTTTCATTTCTCATAATCACCTGCATATGAAAGATTAATGTTTTTACGTGAAAAACGGGTAAGTGCTCCAAAAATTCTATAATTAGCCATGTTTTCTTATTCCAAACTGACTGTACTACTGCTATTCACAATCGTGCAAAACAAACACCAACAGCCCTAAGTACAAAGTTCAATGGAATTCAATTCTATATTGGTCTAGAACCTGCACGTAATTAAAAATGATATTACAACTGATAAAGAAATTTTTTTTTATACTATATACATAATCCACCGAACAACGATAAAATTTTCGTAGATAATAACGTGGCTTCGAATACTTTTATATTAGTTGATAACCGAAACATTAATTTTGTCCTAAATCAGAAATATGAATTATGAAATGATAAAATTTAATATCACTAGCATGATGTATGTCTGAATATATATGAAAATATCTATTTTATAGAAAATATACATTAAATATAAGCTTAGCTCTATACTATATTATTATATTATATTATTATATATAGATAAGAAATTTTATTATATTATTTATTTAAATATGGAATATTGACAATTCCGATATTATTTATTGATCATTCCAAAGGCTTAAAAAGATCAAACATAAAAAAAATAAATTGATATTAAAACTTCAAGATTTTATAATTTTTAAAGTATTATTAAATTTATAAAGTAATATTAAAAATTTTCTACAAATTTAAAAATTATACGATAATATAACAATAAATATACAATAAATATACACAATAAATAACATAACAATCGATGAAAAGTGATTAATAATTAAAAAAAAAGAATATTTATTGTTGTTAGTTTAGTTTTCTTTTGTATACCTTGATCAATTTATCTATATAAATTTATCTATAACAACTACTTTTCGATAAACATTCAAGAGAGATGATAAGAATATAGAATATTTATGAAATTCGTTGAAATAAGCATGCGAAAAGTATCTTTTAGATCGGTACAATAGATGGCGCCAGGACGGACTTGTCACCACGTTTCACATAAAATACAACTTTCACTCTCGTACACGTCGTTGATTAGCTGATCGAATGAACAGCGAGCAATGACCCTAGCCAATGATCAGTCCATTATTTATATAGGTTAGTAAAATAAAAGAGAAATAAACTAGTAAAAATAAAAAAGAAATAGGATAATAAAAATAAAACAAGTCCAATCGAATTAACGCCTTTATTTTAAATACATGCAACGATAGTATTTAAAGTATTGTAATTCATTTATATATTTTTGAAGTGAAATTTCTTAGATCACGATAATGCGAATTAATTAATTAGGAATTAGAATGAAACGAAAAATGAAACGCGTAGAAAAGTTCCACTCTTCAATATAGTGTATATGCTTGGTTTTATTTCATTTCATGGTTTTATTTCCATTTCATGCTACGCTTATCAATGAACTGGTATTTGAAAAGAGACAAACGTATTTCACATTTTTATTTCTTTCTCAGTTCGTCTCTACTTTATGTAAAGAGATAATAGAGCGAATTATATGCGTTTCGTGTAAAAATTTCTTTCCTGTATATTCTATTCAATCATACATTATATTATTTTCGATTTATATTAATTGACAGAATTAAAGCATTCCATGAAAGATAGCGTGCCCAAAAACATCCCAAAAAACTTAAAAAAGTACCCTACAGCGTTTAAAGGGATTTCAAGCGCGCCAAAAGACGTTGAAAAATAAAATTGCATTAACATTAACAATGTCAACCATTCAATCATACCTTTGTGTTATAACAAAATCACTCCAAATAAAAAACAAAAATATAGATTTGAAGCACCATTCAACAACAATCGCTAAACAACAATCTTAAAATCCATAATAAAAGAGGAACTCGGATTTGCCGAATATGTTCGATATTACATTTCTAAATTCGAAATTCAACTTTTATATGAATAACAATTCGATAATGTAGGACTATAATCAACGCAGTATTCACCAAATATTTAAATGATCTGAAATCTGCAATTTATATATCATATTTTACTTATCATAATCCAATACTCCCTTTGTTTGATTATAAAAGAGTGAATATGTCCAAAACATAATAATATGTATAAAATATATTGTATAATGAAATATAAAAGAAATATGAAACTGGTATGTGTAAATAAATATTCTTATATTCAATTTAAATATTTTTATGAAAAAATAAATGTTAATTAAATTAATTAAATTGATTCTATAGATTTCACTTTTAATGCATGTATCATTTCTCTTAAGAGAGGCCACAATTAAGTAGATAAATACATTAGAAACGAACAGGCGCCATTCTTTATAAATTTCTGCCATTGACAGTATGTGGCTAGTTGCCACACTAACAAAAAAAAAATTAATAAGTAGCGCTACTTTTGATTTTCTTGTACTTTGGAGAAAGGAGAAAGAACTCTATTATCACATTATATATTTCTTTTATCAAAGTAACTGACTATGACAAATTCGTATATATATATATATAGACAATAAATATTATATATGTATAATAAATTAAAGAAAATGTTTAATTTCTAAATGTTAATAAAAAGTTATATAAATAGAACTTTTTTTTATATTTTTGACAGCTATTAATTAAAAAGTGTTTTAACTTCAACATCTTTTATCATTTTTTTCTAATTAATAGATTTAAATAATTTAAATCAGACGAGGAAAATGATATATTTATATATTTATAAAATAAGTAGAATAAAGAGTAAGACAATGTACCCAAAAAATTACATTTATTATTATTATATGTTATATAAATATATACATAATCATATATATATATGCATAAACAATTAAACATATTACATTTATATATACAAAAATAACTATTTGCAGATATTAAATATTTGTAAGCATTATTCTCTATTATTAACATTATTGTATAACACATTAAAATACTAATATTGCATACAGTACAAATGAACATTTAAATATGTATGATAACTACAAGTGACTGCATAAATTTGAAGAACTCCGAATTTTGAATGCTAATGTTGGCTGTTGTTGACTTTCTTAAGTGATATAAAATGGACGAAACCCGATAATTATGTATAGTACTTTTATTAAACAAAGATTATAAATATTATTTTACTATTGTTTTAAAATGAATAATTAAATTATTCTAACTATAAAACCTTTTTCTGAAAAATATAATAAAGGATGTATATACTAAGAAAGCGTTTCTACAATAATTACTTACTTATATTTGCATTAACTTTTGTTTTTGTATTGTTCTTTTGTGAATATTTTATATATTATATAGTGCTTACACAGGTTAGTGAAACTATATTACATGACAAACTTTTATTTGGTATTGCAAGTAAACTGAGTGATTTTTGTGAATTAGTGTAATTGGCCATCCTTAGACCCACATAAGACTGTTTCGTCTGTTGATTCATCAAAGCATAATGAACGTCCTGTACGAGCAATGTTTATTTCTGATACTCATTTACTTGGTCCAAAAAATGGTCACTGGTTTGATAAATTGAGAAGGTAATAAATAAGCATAATGTTTATGTTTATATATTGTTTATATAAGTTAATGTTTATATATTGCAACTTAATTTAAACATTTTATAAATTGTTAATAATTATAGATTGCACTTTTAATTGTTATTTTATCATTATTACCAAATAAATTTTTGATATTTAATATTATTATATTCAATAAAAAGTAAATAATTTGTTTTCAGAGAATGGCAAATGTATAGAGCATTTCAAACGTCAATAGCAATTCATAAACCCGATATAATTTTTATTTTAGGTACATAAAATATATATACTGGTATCAATAATCAAGTTATACATATAACTATTAACAACTATTATAGGTGATATATTTGATGAAGGTGATTGGTCTAATGATAAGGAATTTGACAATTATGTATCAAGATTTCGTTCACTGTTTTCTGTGTCAAATGGCATTCGCCTTTATACTGTAGCTGGAAATCACGATATAGGATTTCATTATGGTATTTTTAATAATTACATTTTATGATAACTATTTACAATAATTACTTTTTAGAGCTACTTATATAGCGTTATTAAGTAATAATATTTTAATTTAAGTAAACTAAAATTTTTTTAGCCATAACACCTTACTCAAATCAAAGATTTGTAAATAAAATGAAAGCACCCAGTGTTCGAAGAATCAGCTCAAATGGTAATCATTTCATCTTAATCAATAGTATGGCACTAGAAGGAGATGGTTGTTTTCTGTGTAAATCTACAGAAATTGCAATAAATAAAGTTGCTGGTAAGCTTTATAAATTTATTATTATACTAATTAATTAAAAAATTTTAATTATTAGTAAATTTGGAAAACAAATAATACTTTTTTAGATCATTTAAAATGTGCGAAAGGAATACGTAATAATTGCACTAAAAGTGATGAATTATCCATATACAGTCGGCCTATTCTTCTTCAGGTTTATAATATATTTATGAATATACAAATGAAATTAATTTCAGTAGAAAATAAAAAAAAATTTTTTTTTTTTGTTTATTACAGCATTATCCATTGTATCGTATATCTGACGAAATATGTAATGAACTTGATGAAGCACCACATAAAATAAAACGTTTACAATTTCGTGAACGATGGGAATGTTTGTCAAAGGAAGCATCTGAACAAGTAAATAAAAAATTCTAAATGTTATCTGTTTTATTCTTAAGTATATAAAATAGATGAATTTAAAGCTTTTAGATATTTTAAACCCAAGACTGGTTATTGGTGGTCATACTCACTATGGTTGCAGAAGAATACACAGAGATGATATTTTGGAATTTACAATCCCCTCTTTTAGCTGGAGAAATATCAATAATCCATCTTTCCTGTTGGTAAGTTTTGTAATATATCAAATATTTTGTTAAACATAATAGCTCTCCAAGAGTTATATGAAATTTTGTTGTAGGGTATATTCACTCCAAGTAATTTTTCTGTATCAAAGTGTTACATGCCAGTTGAATCTACTGTGATCTTAATATATAGCATAAGTATAGTATGCTTTTTCGTATGTTTAATTATAAAATATATACCTAAAACAATTCTAATTGTATTTTTGAAGGTGAAATCATAATATTAATCTGATCTTTTATAAGTTCCTACATATTTATAGTCCTATTGTTTCAATATTCTAAATAAAATACAGAGAAAGGAAATTTTATCTTTACATTGTTTAATAAATGTATGAATATAACCAACAGTATTAAAGAAATTATACATCAACACATGTCATGGGCAGATATGTTATTTACATCATTTATAGTATAAAAAAGAATTTTCTTTGAACTATACAAGTTAAGATATTTTACATATTGTTAATATCGAATATATGTTATTAAATATATTAAGCCATATTTATAAATTATAACAACTATATTATGAATAAAGATTTATATAATTTTAGTAAAAAAGATTATAAATTGCATTAATATTAAACAATAATTAAAATTATATATATTATTAGATTGCCCCAAAAGTTTCTTTTGTTTTATAAAAAAATAATAGATTAATAACAGTTTATCTTTTATATTATTTTATTGAATTACGTACGATCCATTTTGTTTTATTATCCATTTCTCTAAAAGCCGCATAATGTCATCTTTCCAGAACTTCTGGAATTTGCTAGCAAAATATCGTTCTAGCATTTTTATGTCATTTATTGTATTAAAATTTTTGTAAAAAATTTGGGGCTTGGCGTTATTGTAAAATTGCTTCCTTCAATTTGTCCAGTTGAGAACAATATTTCACTGAATTGATTGTTTCACCTTGTGGAAGGAATTCATAATAAATGATACTTGATTAGTTCCGTATTCATATTAGATAGGTGTTCTTCATTTTTCAAATTAAAATTACCAGTTACAAACCTTCTAAACCAACTGAGAACTGTCTGAACCTTTGTAACACCACTTCCACATACGGTGTAAATCTCAGTTGCGGTATTTTTAGCACTGTTGTAATATTAAATATTGCAAATGTTTCCTTTGATTTACTATACTTAAAAGCGTATAAAAGACTTTAATGAAATGTGTTCTATGATAGCTAAACGATGATTAAAGATAATGGCCACAATGTTTGATAAATAACATTTCATGTTTGTATAAACACTGCTAAATAAAGCAGTTGCGTGCAGATAACTAAAAAAACTTTTGGGACAACTAAATACTATACTAATAACGAAAAATACATATGATGTGTATAAAATTATTAATAAACAAATCATATATAAATATTCATAATTATATATAAATTACCCATGACATATCAAATTTTTATACTAAAGACTAATAGTTCATATATATAATTAATTCAATCATGTATCATTACATTATAATAAATAATAACTAATGCATTTTTTCTTGATTTTCACAATTTACAAGGATTGACAAATAATACTTCCTCTGTTTCTATATATCCTAAGTATTCCTATTCCTAGTACTCCTATAAAAAATCTAAACAAATTAGGTTTGAAGGAAACTTAATACTTTTATAACATTTTTGTGATGCATGAAAAAAGTGTCGATTTTTACACTGAAAATAGCTTTATAGATTCATATACATATAATGCATGTCATATACACTATGTATAGTTTTTTATAAGTTATTAATAGCATTTTGTATTATGTATGTAAACGTTGTATTATATGTATGTTTGCATGAATATACATACATATGGACATAAAATGAATTACTTCAGATTTTGTTAACTCTTATTTTGTTTCATAATTTAACAAGCAGATATACTGCTTTTCTCTTAATTTCATAATTAAAAAATAACCTAATACTCACAATGAACAAATAGATAAAGTTACATTCGCACAGCACTCAATGAGTTCATTTATGACAATTAGGACTAGTCTATTTAACTGCTGCATATATTTTTCGAATGAAAGCGTATGCAGCAAAAAAGCCAACTGTACCAGTCAACAACCAAAACGTAAGCACCATTAATGCTGTATATGCAAAATACATCAGCGTTGGAACCAATTCTGTTATTTCTAATTTGGTCATAAAGTAAAAAACCGAATATGCTAGCACATATATAGCTGATCCACCACTAACCATAAAACTTCTCCACCACCATCTGTAATCCTGTAATTAAATAAAAATTATGATTAATTATTAATTAAAAATATAAATATAAATATTACAAAATATGTTATAATATACATACTTCTGCACATAACTGCAAATATACCAGAAATACAGATATTTGAGCACATGAAATGAGAAGAATACAAAATACTAAAAATAAAAATCCAAAAAGATAGTAAAATTGATTTTCCCATAATGCAGTCAAAATGAAGAATAATTCTATGAACACCGCACCAAATGGTAGTATGCCTGCCATCAACGTACTGAAAAAAAATGTAAATCTCTCTTCTACATTAACATTAAAAATATGATTATAATATAAAATACGTTTAAACTCTTACCAGAATATTGGATTCATATACCATAACTGATCTGGAATTTGCCTAGGAATTTGGTTTGTTCTCACAGGATGTGTAAATGGATGTTTACGATAACCAAAGAAATATCCAAGAAATACTAAAGGAAGTGAGATACCAAACCATAGACAAAGCAATGCTAACATAGTAGTAAATGGAACTGCTCCTGAACTGTGTTTTCCCCATATGAAGAAATTTAAGAAAAAACATGTAGTAAACACTATGCCAGGATAAAGTGTTGCTGTCTACAAATTTCATATAATAATTTGTCGACGAAATAAACCATATCATATTACTTATTATATTTTAACTTTATTATAAATTTTATAAATATATTTATCAACTTACCAACAGTGCAGCTCTTCTCCACTCTCGTCCTCGCACAGTTTTATAGAGACGTGCGGAAAAATATCCAGCGATTGATCCAGAAAATACAAATAAAAATATAGCACAAGTTCCTAATGCTCCTCTACTTGCTGGTGAAAGCATTCCAAGCATGGCAAAAACTGTAAATAGATAATATACATTTAACTGTAAACAAATTTTGCAGTAAATATATTTAAGACATTTATTATTATCTTACATATTGTAATTAGTGCCATAAAAAATATTTGAATGCCATTGCCTATTACTGCAGCGAACAAACGTGAATTAGGAGGTGGTCTGAAAACATCTCCATGAACTAATTTCCAACCAGTTTCTTCAGTAGTTTCATCTAAATTAGCTAGACTATCACTGTCACCTGCATTATAACGAGCTATATCTCTCTTAAGAATCCTTACCATGATCGTTGTAAGAATACCTGTCGATAAATTGTTTAAATATTATTAACGGATATCATCTTTAAAATTATAAGTTATAAAGTTATAAAATAAAAAACTAAAGTTATTTCATTTACCATATAGAAAAAAAACTACAAGGAGCGAATTTATAATAGAGAACCAATGAATTTCAACGTCATTCATTTCTAAATATGTGTCCCATCTGCTTGCCCAACTAACATCTGATCTTTTCCATTCCACAGAATATAAGAATAACAATCTAGTACTTTTAGGATTAACAAATTGTGGGCTTGCTTGAGAAGGTAATATACACGTATTTCCTTCATATTTCAATCGATTTATATCCACTGATCGAGCTTCCACTTCAAATTCTACTACTCTAAATTGATTTCTACAAAGAAGCATATAAACATTGATTTAGTATATGTACAAAATAAATTATATATGAAACAATATAAACAATACATACTCTCCATGTTCATGATATCCTAATTTCAATATCAAATGATTATTAATATAAACTTGATCATCTATAACACCTCCTAATCTATATCCATGATAAACTACTTCACTTTTAGTTCCCTTATGAAATTTCTTGGTAGCGGCTGGCAAATTATCTATTAATCTATATGTAACATGCAAAATATGACATAATAAATCAAAAATTGCTAAATGAACACAATATAAACGATGTAAACTTTATCTTACAAATGCACAGAATAATCATGCTGAATACGTTCTATTGCACATTGAGATTCTTCTTCATTCCAAGTCATTGGATTATTTTGTCCATGACATAAAAGTCTACAGCTTATATCTTGTTTCATCATAACTTCATATGGTGTATTTACAATCCTGGAATTAAAAACAAAAATTATTGTTAAATGTAACAAATATTTAACAAATTAATTTAAAAAAAATTACATAATTCTTAAATTTTACCTATCACCACGTAATACTTCTCCTAAATTTTCTGATTTATAAATAAGTGTTCCATTCTTTGGTCTACAAAACTTAAGAGAATAATATTCATATGGTAATTGTGTATGAGTACTTGTCATTTTAACTGCTTTGACATCAATTTTTTGCCCTTTCTTAAATTCAACTGGTGCAACACCCGGTACATAAAAGCCATTTGTTTCAATTAAAAAAGATATTATCATAAGGATAGAAACATTCCTTTTTATTCTTCCCTGTTTGAATAAAGATTGATCTATAATATCATACTTAGATATAAAGGAAGAATTAACATTAACGAACATAAATTATATATATACACACACACACATATATATATATATATATATTATATATTATACATATAACGTACAATGACATATAGAAAATATAATATTTTTCACATAATTATATATATATATATATATATATATATATATATATATAACTAATTAAAATAAGTGTCACTTCATTTTATTCGCAAATGCAATAAAATTTATAACAACACTTTGTTTATATACAATCAGCATAGGATTTTTAAAATTACAGATATCAAACAAAATTAAAAATATTATTATTATACATTGTGTTATCCTATATTAATATTTTCTAATAAAAGAAATATAATGTATATATGCGTCGTCTAATTTAAAGGGACGTTGCACAAAACCGTTCCTACCATTCCTATAACTTTATATTTATTAAAGGGGCGTCACGCCGCTCACAAACTTGGAACTTGCTTCTAACCACTCACACTATTCACTTTCACGTCAAAAATGATATTTACTTATACTTGAAGTTCTTCGCGAAACATCTGATAAGTAAGGCAACGATGAGAAATATTTTTATAAAAAAATCCCTAGAATTTGTTACTTTCCTAACCTTTAGTATATTGCAGTATTGCAGTATTGCCAAGTATCAGAAGAAGTGCGTAATATGATATATACTAATATTAAGAAGATATACGATTTATATATCAATGTACATAAGTATTTCAGAGATATTTCCGAAATTTATGTCTAAAGTCCAATATAAATATAAGAAAACATGTAACTACAAATATAAGGATCAAAATTAAAATCATCCTTTATCATAGATATTATTATATATTTGTATTTCTATTAAAACTGCTTCAATATCGCGTATTCCATTTCTGTATTTATTGAACTTACTTATATCAGGATCTTCTTGTATGTTTTTTAAAATTTTAGCTATGAAGATCATACTTTATTCGTGCATTATGTGGCAGTTTACTGTAACCATATCAAAAAAATTTTATAAACGTCTAGATTGAAATTCCCGCATTTTTTTAATACCCTTAGATGAAGGAAGTAGATTCAGCGTGAAGACACTTTATTATTTAAGTAGATAAAACATTTTGTTAATTGTATTGTATAAATTTATATTTTAGAATAGTATTTCTATGTTCGATAAGAGTTTATGTTTATGAAAAGTAATATTTATACGATTAATTACACAACAGTTGGTGTTTTGACCAGGCTTTTCCAAGAGAAAAAATATACCCAGGAAAAGTAAAATAACGTCCCACGTGGGGACTCGTTTAATTACAAGTTACGTTGTTTAGATATGCATTTATTCGTTTAATTTTTATTGCAGAACAATGGTACAAGTAAGTGCAAACTTTTGAACAAATTACATTGATGAATTTTTATTTCTTATTCCTAAATGAATGCATTTTTCTGTCAGTTCTATTGGGAATTCTTTATTGTTTTTTTTTTTCCGCTGTCATCCATTAGTAAATAGGAAAGATGGCAGCAGATTATTGCGCTTTTTTCCCATATATTCGCAAGGCAGACATTTTTCTAAAAACTAAGTGTTTACTTTAATATTTCTGTTACATTGTCTTTGAACATAGTGTACATCATAATTTCCTGGATGAAATTTTGCGCGGTTTTCATTTTTTAAATGGGATGTAGTGAATATTGAAATAAACATACAGTGAAATTAAAATTTTCAATTTTAATTATCTTTAACATAACGCGTGGTGTGTTCTAAAGGCGAAAAAATATTTATTAAAGTGTAAACAAACATATGTGAGATATGAAAGTACGTTTCTCATAACAAGATATACATATATATTATAACATATAATTTCTTTTTGTTAGTAATATAAAAACATGAACAAAGGGTTATTTTAAATATTGTTTTCAATATATTTTTTTTTTATAATTTTTATAATATTTATTAAATGTCAGTTTTAATTTAATTATTGAATGTTATAAATTGTATTTGTAGGCAATTGATGAAATGGAACAAAGGGATCTCCCACAGGCTTTTCGCCTGCTTGGGGAAATGAATGCTAATGTCCTACAAGTAAACCAACTTGTAGATAATATGTTGGTTCGTGTAAAAAATGGAGAAATTTCTACGGATAAGGGTCTTAGTTTCTTAGAAATGAAATATCATATGTTACTTTCATATCTTATTAATTTAACTTACGTAGTTTTAAGAAAATGTTCAGGTGAACGTATTGAAGGTGACCCCTCTATCGATCGCCTTATTGAAATCAGGACAGTCCTAGAAAAAATCCGACCAATAGATCACAAGCTAAAATATCAGATAGATAAACTTGTTAAGACTGCAGTAACTGGTACCACTAACAGTAATGATCCCACTAACTTTAAAGCAAATCCTGATGCAATAATTGCAAAAATTGATAGTTTTGATGAAGAGTCGGATAGTGATCAAGACGGTGATGAAGATGGTTTTAAATCATCTCAAAGCAGGAAATCAAATATCTATGTGCCACCAAAACTTGCTGCTGTTCACTATGGTTTGTAATAGTAGCCATTAATAATGTACTTTTTTTTCTTGATTTCTTCTATAATACAAAATCTTTGCTTTTATAGATGGAGATGAAACAGCAGCAGAAAAGATGCGTAAAGCTGGTGAAAGAGCCCGTAGACGTGCAGTCTCAGGTGCAGTGTTAAGGGAATTGAAAGAAGAATACCTAGATGCACCAATAGAGGATGCACAAGGCTTAATTGAAAAACAAGCTAGTTTGGGGCGTGAGAACAAACGAAAGATCGAATACGAAGAGAACTACATGACACGTTTACCTGTTACAAAACAAGAAAAACATAGACGCCGTCAGATAACAACTCTTGGTACTCTTGGTGATGAAATTACTAGTTTTGGAGAGACTTCATCTGTACCAACTAAAACAAGAAAAACTCAGAAAAAGGGAAAAGCTAAAAGAAGTAAAAAACTTTTTTTATATTTAATTATTAATTATAAGTGTATATTTTTTAACATAGAAGTTATATTGTCATGTATTTATAGGTTTTAAGAAAAAACGGCACCACTAAATCAGCTTTATAGTAACTTATAGAGCAGAGTTTCATACAGCATTAATTATTAAGGTAACGTGCAACAAAATTTACTTAACTTCTTCTTGACAACAGCAGATGCCACTAATACTCGTTTACTAAATAATGCTATAACTCATAACATCTAGTAATGAAAGACTACCATCGATGGTGAAGTAAAATAGCACGATGGTAATTTATTACTGTATAAGACATACTAATGGTCGTGTAATTAATACTTATAGTTAATACTGATTTTAACCTTTAACTGTTGTATGAAATCAATTTTTATCTGTGGAGTTGAAATATTCCATCAAAAAGAAGAAATAGTATATTGGTATGAGAGGAAACACAGTTCCAATAATATATGTGAGATACATACGAGCTTAATTTAATAAAACAAAGATTCTCATCATGTATATGGTTAAGAGACTAATGGATTTCGGCTCCAAGATCTAAAATTGTAAGTTAAGCATAAAAGTTGAAAGTAGGCAATGGGTCTGCTTTATTTTGAGATATTCTCCAGCTATAAATAATGGAATCAATAACATAGCAGGAGGAATGATATTGAATTAATTGTTACAAAAGCGTAAAAATCACAAGACATTCAGTGCAAAGTTACGAAATTCGTGTTTAACAAGGAAGAATACTGTTTAGGAACTGCAAAAATTTTGCAACTTCTACGAATAATGATTCATTGTATGATATCGCATGTCTTAGGATTTTCTCGCTGTCTAGTGTAGTAAAGTAGTTACTAGTTTAACTATTAAATGTATGTTTCGTTTGTGTTTTTCCCCTGGTGAACTGTTGAGGCTATTACATCTTGATGTGAATCATATTTTATGTTAAGTTTCTTTTGGCAATGTATTTATACATTGTAATTGTTATTTTAACTAAAAATTAATTTCATTAAGTGGTTAAACTTATATTAAATATAATATAAGGATAACATAATCGTGTCAAAATTCAAAATTGATATGGTAAATTTCTGTAGTACTGTTTAAGTTTGCAGTATTTAGTTTTTAAGGAGGGGGAACATGTCACGTCGAAGTACAAACTAATAAAGGAAGACTAGAGCGAAAATCACTTCTGCAATAGTGAATAAGACCTGTACAATCAAATCGCGGGATATATTTAGCTCTTGCGCTTGAATAGGTTCCATTTTTTAAATATTACTAAATGAGATTACAGGGTGACTTTTTCATATTAAAGGAGAACTACCTCCTTTAAAATAAAAGAAATGCAATATTGTGTAGATTTCTAACACAGTTCACGCTTGGGTATGAGTGTCCATTGCTCGTTCCTGCAGAAGTGGTCCGCATTACCTTTGAGAGTGTTAATTCGCTATATGCTAACCAAGAGCTCAACCATCCATAGATGTTATATTTTTTACAGAAGTGTTCATAGATTGAGCTATCTTGGTAAGGCATGATGTTACATGTGCCTCCTCTTTTCTAATCTGTGAAAATGATTAAAATGTGATAAATTATTCATGAAATAATATGTAAAAAAAAAAAACTAACAAAATAGCACAATTGCTGGGCATTATTTACAAGTGCTAGCAAGCCTAATGTCAGCAGCCTTGTCGTATTTGGTAATGAAGTTGAAATACCGAATAGCGGAAAAATTTTGAGATAATTTGTGTTATAACACTTGCGTGTGAGCATGAATGATTGCAAGTGTATGTATAATGTTGCTCTACATTTTAAGGAAACAAAAGTATAAACGCAATTAGTTTCAAGATTTGTCCGTGATTTGGATTTTTCATACTCCATGCATAGACGATAATTTTCTAAGCACCCTTACAACTAAGAGATCTATGAGCCCAGAACAAATTTATAGTATACACAGTCTGTTTCAATCAATCAACTATTTTCATATCAACACAAACTATATATATATTATATATATATATATATATATATATATATATATATATATATAATATATATATTTATATATAATATATATATATTTACGCCGAAAGAAATATTATTTACAATAAAAATATAAACTGGGAGACTTGTAGAATAGTATAAATTCAATAAGTTTTGTTTTAAATACTAGCAATATAATCGTCAATGTTTTGGGCTTGTAGTAAGAGAGTATGGGTGTAAAAAAGATATTCATATGAGACACATATCCGCACACAACATATAGCAGCAAGATAATAGGATTATATTGAATACACTACCTCAAATCAATAGAAATATGGAGTTACAGTAATGAAACTGTAACAGTTTCGTTTACATCACTATGTCATTTTTTATTATTTAAATATTTACTAATACTGAGGTTTTTTTAGTAAAATTCTTCAGCTTGTTGTATTATATTTAAAAAATATATAAAGTTTATTCTATTTGAAATTGAATTCTTTTCATATGTTCTTGTATCTACATAGTAGATAGATATGATTGATCAATGTACAGAAAGACTTAAGGAATGTAAACGTTACTGTAAACAGTGATTTTAAAGTAGTTCTTCAAATCCAACAATGCTGCCGAATACAAAAGAAACAAAATATCTTTGCAGCAGAGTCAAGATAGGAATAATTTATTGACTACATTCATAGTCTGAGAAAATATAATGTTTCATTTATTGGTAAATTTTCTATAATTTATGTATTATGAAAATTCAACATGTAAGAGAGTTTACCTGTATATTACAAATGGTTATTATGAATGAATTATTATGGATTAATACTATCATTACTACTATTACTGCAACTACTATTACTACTATTACTACTTCTACTAATAATAATAATATTATTACTATTATTATCGTTTGATAATAATAGTAATTTATCATCGTCATCGTCATCAGCATCGTCATCGTCATCGTCATCAACGTCGTCGTCGTTGTCGTCATCGTCATCGTCATCAAATTGTCATCATCGTCATTGTCATCCCGTCATCGCCATCATCGCGCGATAAAGTCAAATCAAGTCATAAGTCATCGCCATTTTCATTGGCATCAGTATCATTATTATAATTATTATTACATTTTTATCAACATCAACATCATCGTTATCATCGTTTTCATTATTATTATTATTTTTCTTTTTTATTACTGTTCGTATTATTACGATCATCATGTAGAATGCTTCTTACAGACTGAATAAAATGTTTTCAATGTCATACTACGCATTTTATATACAAATACCTTCTATTAAAAAAAAAACATCCCGATTCATATGCATTTATATAAATTCAAAAGATTTTAAATATCTATTATTTTTTTTAATAAGGACAATTAAACACAATTTGCCACGATTAATGTAATATTATATTACTAAATGTCGCAAGAGAACGATACATTTGACGTTACTTTGACATCAATATATTATAAAATACAAATTATATATAGTATTAACGCTACTTATAAATCGTTTTCATAATAGTTTAATTTTATATACATTTCTTTAACGTACCGAAATTCTATGTCAAAAATAAGAGGCTACGAAAATATTAATATTTTATTCCTGTACGTTAATTTATCCGGTAAGTTTTCTGTGTTATATTGGCATGCCTTCGCCAGTTGGCACTAACTTTTCGGTGGATGTCGACGACACGTCTTACCGATTTCTACGAACATACGATTTGCCCGTCGTTGATCCGTGGCACGAGAGAAAAGGTGGTAGGTGATTTACGATTAAAAAGTGTGAAGCGTGTGAAGTTTAACAATGTTTGTTGTATATTTAAAGAACAATTTATTCCTCTTCAAATGTCAAATGTTATTCCTCTCTTTCAATTTGACACATAGCTGAAGTTCTTTCTCCTAACTTGACACATTTTGTTCATTCTTAAATTTACCTAAAAAGGTTATATTATTTTTAAATAATTTAAGTAGATTTATAGTTACGTTTGTATAATTGTAAAATAAGGGTGAAGCTTTCTTCTCTTTCTCTCTTTTTATATCTCTCTCTCTCTTTCTCCTCTCTCTCTCTTTCTCTTTCTCTCTCTCTATCTCTCTCTCTCCCCCCTAACTCTCTCTCTCTCTCTCTTTCTCTTTCTTATCTCCTTTGTCGACTCTCTACCCCTTCTCACTCTTAATCTTAATGGCTCGCCCCCACGATGTTCTCTCTCTCTCTCTCTCTCTCTCTCTCTCTCTCTCTCTCTCTCTCTCTCTTTCTCTCTCTCTCTCTCTCTCTCTCTCTCTTTTCTCTCTCTTTTTCTCTCTTTCTCCTGCTACATCGTGCATGCTTTCCCTCTCTCTTTCGTTTGCATCGCTCTCTTTCTTTTCTTCTGCATGTCATGGCCTCACACACATATGGTTGTAGCATAAATTATTTTTATCGTTACGTATACCTCAACGACTTACCCTATCTGCATAAAACAGTACATTTTATCGATGTTATATCATAGTTATCGGGAGCATGCGAGAAATAATCTAAGTTGACATATTTAACGAATATCTTTCTTTCTCCCATGCGTAATCGTTAATTCCTAAAACCAAAAGCGTTCTTGCGTTCCTCTTTTTCACGGTTATTTTTAAATCGCGCGCGACGCAGAAGTGCGTCGTCTAGAGTCGACTACGAAGACTAGATCTCGAATGCCGCCTTCGCATAAAAACGATCGTGTAATTCATTTTTCCTTCTCTCGATAATTTCTCTTTTTATTTTATTTCTTTCGCTCATAATACAAAATAATTGACAATATCATAAAGCTTATAAATCGGTTTTTTTTTTAAATTGATAGAAATTTTATTAAAATTTTTACGAGTATTATTAGATTTCCTCGCAAAGTAAATAAAAATAAAAAAATATAAAAAAGGACAGATGTTTTTTTTATTTGTTGACTTTGACGTTTTCAATGTACCTTCGAATATATCGTTCAATTTAGATTAACAGTTAATTATTTGAAGGTAATAAACAATGGCCACGACACAACTGAATAGGGCACGAACAATCAAGAAAATCGAAAAACCTCGGCCACTCAAACTTAATCAGCGCCATACGACCGTCGATGGACGGATCACGACAGGTATACTCAACATTTTTTATATTTTTATTAAAATATAAAAGCTTTTTACATATATATTTAATATTTGAAATGTAACTCCAATTTAATAATATTTTAGTTTATATGCTAAGTTCTATATAAACAATAGTTTTTTGTTCTAAACTCTATATAAATATAATTTTATTTTTTATATCAAAAACATTCATATAATAAGTATTATGTATATGGAGATTTTGTAATTTTTAGTATTTATTGTAAAAAATTATATATTCTTCTAATAGTGGAGGACATAGTGTCCTTAATCGACAATGTTACGATGCAATTAACTAATGGCTTCCATGACCAAACGCTGCAAATGAATGTGATTACAATGTGTAATCATCTCAAACTTTATGCACATCAGTTAGAAGCTATTTACAAAGGTATAATTTTTCTTTTCACACTTTACTTTTTACTTTTTTTTTTTAATTCCTTATAAAAAAGATTGAAAAGGGAAAAGAAAGAATTTTTATTTTTAAATATTATTGTTGAATTAATTTTGAAATAGATAGTATATTTGTAATCTGTATTAAATATTTGTTGTTTGAAGATTGAACTACATATCTAAGTTTCTATTATTTCTTTGCATAATTTCTATTTTTAATGCTTGTAATATTTAGATCAGCTGGACAGAGCTTTTGTCGCAATAAGGAATGGAAGTCAAGACGAGAGACTAGATCTGACGACTAGGGTTCATTTGCTGGAACTTATAGAATTGCGAGCTAAACAATGGCGTCACACAGACTCTATGGATGTATATTATACTCATAAATTATCGCATCTTGATAATGTAATTGAATTACTTTTGCTATTTTTTAATAATATTCTAATCTCATATTTATAAACTGAAATTATATTTACAGACAGAAGGAACTCTAGAAACACTTGCGAATCCATTGGCTTCACCTTTGACGGTAGTTCCACCTACTGCTACATCTATTCTGGGTCCTGGTGAAGTAATAAAAAATAGTGGCAAATTTGCGAAGCCTACTCGGATTCCTGGTAAAAATTATTGCAAGGATGAAGTTGTTATACGTAACAGTGATTCTGGTAAAGGTAAATAAAATTCATGGTTTTCTAATATTCGTAATTATATATCAAAATTAAAAAATGGTATGCAACTGACTACAAATTTTATTCAAAAAATCAAAATTATGATTTATCATAGTTATTATATATCAATTGTAAGGTAATATGAGTATGTGCTGCTAGTAAAACGTATTATATGAGGATACCATGTTAGCTCTATTTAAAAAAAGACATTTTTTTAGGAATTTTCTTTTTTATTTTTAGTTAAACAGTAGTATCTATTTTAGTTTAGTTTAAATATTACTTATTTTGCTTATTTTATTACAATTTTTAAGTTCAATTTTTCAAATTTAATTCTTAATATAGTTACAATTTAAATTAATTTCGTGCAGTTTATGTTTATCGATTCATTTTTAAATTATGTACGTAAAAATACAGTGATGGGAATAAAAGGGCGTCGTGTTCACATGATCGAAGAACTGAGCCAGACGATCATCTCCTTCCAGCGAGGTAAAGCAATGATCTGCGATTGGCTTATCAGCATTGTGCTCGTGCATTATAAGAATAATACTTGATGAATCAGATGACACCTAATTCCTTACCATATCCTAATATTCTAACATTTGTGAGTTTAATCACATGTATTTAGATTGCAATTATGAATAATTCAATCCTAATGTCTTATAAGCAGTTTGATAATTACTAATTTATCTTTAATTGCAAGCATACTACATGCATCATTTACTAAGAACAATTGCAATTTTGCAAATAGTTTTATGAAACAGATATATAGATTTCTGATAATATCAGATGTTCCGCATAACTACATAATGTATGTTTTAATCTAAAAATATCAAAGTTTTGATTGTTTTTATTTATTATTTATATAATATAAATTTTATTTTAGATTTACGACAAAGTTACATAAAATGATTTTTTAGCTTTGATGTGATCATCTTAGGTATATATGTATATACATTATTTTGCTGTAATATAATTATTAATTTCAAGCACGCTACCAAGTGAGTTGCTACCAAGTATTAATTACATTACAACGTTCAAGACTTGGATATCAAGATGTTCAAATCATTGATATATTGATTTGAAGGTCAAAAACATAAGGTTATCTGAAGGTCACAGTTATAAGGTATATAGAAAATTTGAACACGTTCTGCAGAAGCTTAATCTGTTACTATTTCTTTATCCTTTAAATCATCATGGCATGTGCCACTGTATGTTCAATGATGCAATATATAACTGTCATGCATTGTGCCTGCAGCTTTTTAAATAATGATTAATCAGAGTTATAATTATTGTGAGATACATATATTATTAGTAAAAGCTGGAAATAATCATTTGTCAATAAAGTTACATACATAGCAATATAATTACCATCACAAGAATGATTTAAAAATGTTATATTACTATCTGAAATATTAAAAATTTTTACAATAACATCAGTTATATAATATCTATATATCATAGCCAAATATACCACATTGTATTCATTTCAACAAATTTAATAACAGATCAATAATGACTTTGTATTTATAATATATCTGAGAAAAATTGTTAAAGCAATATTTAACACCAATAATTGATTATATTTTTGATTGGAGTTATATGATATGTTGTAGCATTTAAAATGTTACCATCTTGTAATTAACAATCTTGTATAAGTATAAGACAGAAGTTTTTAATTAATAGAATAAAACTTACATCCAAATCTAGTAATTATAATGTATATAATAATGTGTAAAATTTTTTTTTTTTAGTAAACCCTGGGGCTAAAGAACGACTTGTCCAAATAACTGGTACTTCCGAGGACAAGATACAGTGAGTTTATATATTTCACTGTTATAAAAATTCTTACAAATAATTATTATCTTTAATACATTTCTTTAAATAATGCCTATTTATACTAGTTATGCGAAGGATTTAATAAAGGATACGATTCAACGAAATGCATCTCCGGTACGGTTGGAGCAAGGTGGAGGAGAAAAAGGAGGTATAGGAGGTTCAAGCTCTTCTTTAAATAGTAGTGCATCTGAAGAAAGTAATCGATTGCAACAACACCAACAACAGAATTCTCGTTTGAGAAGTTCACTCCTTCATAGCTTCTCCACCAACGACGCCAGTATTGGCGAATATAAATATACAGTTACAGTCGATAATCAATCCCTTAAGATTACAGGAACAAATTTGGATCTTGTTAGGGTACGAATTTTTATTGTAATATTTGGATTTTATACATTTCTTTTTATGTATACTTAATATTGCATTTTTTACTTTTCTTAGACTGCAAAATTAGTGCTGGATGAATATTTCTTAGGAGATTCTGAACAATTTGGAAGTGGAATAGAATATTTTACCTTTGACGAAAAACCTGCTTCATCTGATAATAATTTGTCACAAACACCATTAACTCCAAGTAATACCGTTTCATTAGGACGAGAATTAAGTATGGATAGTGCAGCTACTTCTGAAAGTGAAGAAACATATAAATCACATCTTGCTACAGAACTTCAGTCATCTGATCAAGGTACTTAATAAGAGTTCAAAACTGTTTAAATAATTCATGTTTAATATTTTTTAAAGAAAAGTTAAGTTATAGTCAAATGATTTGAAATAAAATTTCAGATCCAGAAATCAGAGAACTCACTTATGAGTTCTTGCTGCTATGTTCCACAGGCCCTTATGCAAAACGGCCTCCTGCAGATTGGGCTCGTATACAGAAGGAATGCCCGAATATTGTTCGTAAGGTAGACATCTGTGATAGTAATGCTAATCATCTAATGTGCACTATTTTTAATGCTAATCTTGCTTGCAAGATGACTAATATTTAATATATCAATACTCTTTATGCATAGATTATTTTTCTTATAACAAGAAAGTGAAATTAACAATAAGACGATCGACATCTTTGTGTTATGTTTTGATGCACATTCTGTGTAAAATAATATGTAATATACGTTATATCATATATTATATATTATTAAATAATCTAATACATTAGATACTTAAATAGAGTCTATTACCATGGAAATAATTGCCAAAGTATCGCATTTAAGCCATTTTTCATAAAAGTAAAATAATTCAAAATATTATTCTCGTTAACTTTATTTGATTAATAATTTCATTGTTAATGAGCTTTTTGCTTTTAAAATACTATTGTTAAATTTAACATGTTAACATTAATATTATTTTATTATGTTATTAATACTCAAATTTATATTTTTGTTATATTTCATATCTTTATTTGATGCTTGGTTATGTAATGTCGATAAGGAACCATTATAAAACTGCTGCAGATATTACTCGATTTAGTAAATAATATTAAGCTAGATTTGACTTAAGCTATAATAAACTTCTGTGGCTAAATTAAGACTGATTATAAAACAGTAAATATTTTACGTTTCTATTTTTTCTTGTATTCCATGATAAATATTATTTACTGAGATTATAAAATTTTGTTGTTTCTTATTATAGTTATTGCTTGAAGATTGTTTAATGTTTATAATAAAAATAAATGCTTGTATCCAGTATGAAAGATATTAAAAACGAAATTAATAATGTGTGTAATATTATATAAAACCTAAAATTTCCATAATAATAATTAAACTTTAAAGTATAATAATTTTATGACAATAACAAATTATATATTATATATATGTAATAAAGTTATATTATTGTTTCATAATATATGAATAAAAATGAAGTGAAAAAATATTGATTCACTTCGTTTTTTAATCATAATATATTTAGAATTCTCTGTACCGTTTAAACCATACATATATATATATATATATATATATATATATATATATATATATATATATATATATATATATATATACATACAAATTAAAAACATAATTATAATACAAAAATATGTTTTGGATAAGTTCTTGAATTAGCATGATTATATTTGCATTGGCAGCATAACATTTAGTAAATTTAAAGCATGCTGCTTTTAGTATCATTTACAGGTAAGAACATATTTGTTTTATCCTACAATGGTTATTAAATATAATAATTTTATATTAATTTATGTAACCTTCACAGGCACCGATTCGCTGGTTCGAACCGGAGACATACAAAGCAAAAGTAGCAGCAGCTGGTGTCATTGCAATATTACCTGCTGGTGAAGGAGAAACAGATCCTGAGTGAGATTATATTTTCAAATCATCCTTATATACATTGCACATTTAGAGAAACAAAATCTTCCAGTTTATCTCGTGCCTTCTTGCGAATGCATTGTGATAATTAATATGATGGCAGTAACAAAGAACAACTGTAAGTTACACGTACTTTTACAATTGTATTAAAATATGTATTGTGATTTTATGGAAATTTTGCAGAAAATTTTCATTATTCAACATTTCATTACAACAAGATCACGTAGATATAGTTATACTAATAGTATGATGTTCTTATATACAAATGCAATTTTGAATCTTACAAAGCATTTATGCTTGGTACAGATATATCGGAACAATGCAAAGTTGTATACATAATAAAAATTCACAATTAGTTGGTCATAATTAATATGACACAATTTAGATTTGTAATAAATATCAAATCTAACTTGAATTGTCATCTGTGTTAGTAATACTATAAAAAAACACTATTAATGTGGACTGGCTGGGACCATGTCAAACTAATTACAGTGGAAAATTAAATATAAAAGATATTAAAAATAGTTTTCAATTACAAATATATATCACGTGATTGTTTCTATATTCTTTGTTGTTTAATTTTTGCATCATTAAAGCTTGTTAACACGAGTATTGCTATATCATTTAAAGCACTATAATATTTGTTTAATACAAACAAAATATATTTAAAACAGAAATTTTTTATATATGAATTAACATAATTTAACGAAATTTTGTGTATAATAATGAGAAATGGCAATACTTTGTGTGTTTATGTTATTTTTTTTCTTACTATTTTTATCTTGTTTATTGACAATATTGTGGCAGTTTGTTAATTACAATGATGATATTATATGATTTACACATAAATTTTGTACTATTAAATGAGATCATATTTGCAAATGTCCTTGTATTAGCAGAATATGTATAAAAATTATATCGTGTAAATCTTCTTTAGATAAACAAATCAAAATCTGCATTGTTGCAATTTGTCTGTGAATAGAAAGTAGAAATATCTTTGTTTCTGTGAACACATATTTTCTTGCTATGCAAAGAAAAAATGATCGTACAGAATAGTGATTTATCATAGTCTAGTCTATTTATCATATATAATGAAAAATACGTAGAAACAGAGTTTATTGATATAGTAATTATTTTGCTCTGACACATCAACCAAAATGTTTATAGTCATACAGATTTTACATTTTATAAACTAAAATGCTAATTATACTTGCAGTACTGATTATGTCAACGTACTAAAATATTTCATTGTCTCTCGAGTAATGCAGAAGAATTAGTATTAATATTATAATGTTACCAGAGAATGAAAATTATCTCTCTTTTATAAATATAGTAAATATATAATATATAGTGAGATAAATGAGTACCATTTATCGTACGTTTATAGTACGCAATGTAATCATGCTGCATAGTAATTATAATGCTTTGTTTATAAGTTTTTACACTATTTAATATTTATTATAAATTTGATGCACTTATTTTAAATAAATTATTATGAAGGAATATAATAAGGCATGTTAATTTAATTTTACAAATCTTAGCTACATCATTAGTATTTAATTATACTTCGACATTTAATAATAAAATAATAAAATAATAAAATAAGAGATACTGAATAATACATATTTTTACTGATTTCTGTTACAGATAAATATTAAAAATTTTCTATATTGTTATTTGTGAATATGACAATATAATAATACATATGTATTTATATTGCTTAGTATCATGTATTCTTTCCGTATATTCTACTGAATGAATTTAATGAATACAACCTGTTTCTTTCAATACTGTAGTTTTTTATTAGTTCAGTATTGTACAGAAATGATTGATAATGTTCAAAGATGTACATTCAAGACCTACACTTTTAATTTGTGCAGGCTCGGCTGTATTTTGAACGTCAATTATATTCTTATGTTTTGTAAAAGTTAAAAATTTTATATTATATATTATTGTGTACATAGAATCGGAAATCTATACACTGATTGCATTTTATAATTTGTCCTGACAGTGTCTTCTATATTGCAATTTTTTTCCAACATCTATGATTAAGTAATATAATATTATCTATATTCATATACAAATTAATCTAAAGAAATATTTTAGTCTGAAGTGTACATAAGCAGTCCCTCTCTCTATTTAATATTATATTAAAAAGAATCCTTATACTTGATGACATTAAATACAAAATAACGCATAAACAGTTACTATCTAAATGTGCAATTAATGATTAAATATAATGATTAAATATAAGAACGATAGAATGTACATGTACTTCGAGAAACTGTTATGTATGACTTAACAGACTAATTAATATGTAATTAACAAATAAATTGGCAGTTCTGCAAAGTCAGAATTGCTAATACATAGTTACTTAAATTGAGAAAATATTTCCTATATATTTAAGATATATATTGACACATTGCCACACTTCTTAAAATAGGAATTTGCAAAATTGTTCCATTTATTCCACATAATACCATTTGTATATTGCAATTTGCTGCTTAGATAAATTATAAATAACTAACTTTGTTTAATTGTGTTTAAAAGGAAAAAATATTGAGATAATTAGTCCTATATCAACTCTATTTAAATGAGATGCTCTTTTCATCAAAACAATTAAGAAATAGTCTTTTACAATCGTCATTACTTGAGTCCCATTATCTGTTATCCAGATATCAACATCTATCAAGTTTAAATTATGGAATTTTTTTTAATACAAATAAGTATGAAAACATGACGTTTTACAATATAATCTTGTAAAATATGAGTGGTGACACATATATGCTATATTTATGTATATGTAAATACACAGTGTCACTTAACTATATTAGGTCACGTGAAAAGAACACTTCCAACGTTAAATAGTAAAACTTATTTTTGTCAATGGACTATGAAGTATAAATAATGTTTTCATGCATTGCAGTCAATGTATTTTCTAGAATCATTGTCACCATTGTGCATAATGTTATCACGTATACAAATGATGTGAAAAATTAATCATACAGGCATACATTATGTTCACATTTATGATAATCTACGTTTTTTTCTTTTTTTCTTTTTTATAAAACATAGATCGCAAAAGCGATAATTTATTTAAATAGATCGCCATACCAATAGTTTCTTTAAGGGATTATATGCAAATCGTGTTTGCAGAGCAATTTTGCGTTCTAAATGTTATTTATACCAAAAAAATTAGCTTGTTCTACTAAAGTCTACTTTTCTAATTTATAATGAGAAAATGTTAATGACTTGAAATGACATTATTATATATGTACAAAAAAATCAAATGAAGAAAAGAAATATAAATTGTCTATTTGATAGCTGCATTTACATAAGTTTGATGCACTTAATTAATTGTGGCTGTCAACATTTTCGACAATATACTATTTACAGTGCTACAGCCCATACATAAAATATTTATCTAAACTTAGAGGTTAAAAGAAGATTATCTTATAAAAGCATCCGAAATATCCTCTAAATTTAGACTCCGCACAAATTTGATATTTGTCTAATTCACACGCATAAGAAATTGTCACCTAATATATCTTACTTTTTTATTTATCAAACTATTCATTTTTCTTGATTATTTACGAGACTAATTGAACGCTATACGCAGATATACAACGATCGCTAAAATTTTTATGCATGATTGCCAGGCGATCGATTTGATACTGCTATTAAGTATTAATTATATACTGAATATCAAGTCTCCTCACTACAATTTTAATATTCTATATAAAATGTGTCCAGCCGTTCTTATATTTATTTATGTAAATACAAAAAATTATATCATTCTTGTATTTCCCTAATAAAACAGAAATTCACTAAATACTCTTAACGAAAAATATGTCGTTACATAAAAGCAGTGTTTTATGGGGTTAAAAGACATAGTCTGGTCCAGCCATGTCTATCGCCCATCTGAATTTATCCCTTTGAGTTTTATTATAAATTTTTTCGATTGGGACATTATGTTTCTTGCACCTAAATAAAAAATAATTATTTTATATTTTTTTTATCTAAAATATGCACTTATATATTATTATAAAACTCTAACATTTACCATGCAACAGAAATTCTTGGATCTAAATAATTAAGTTTAGAGGTTCCTAATGCAATTTCTTTATTTTCTTCTCTATCAGTTGCTTGAACCTCTAATTTCGTCAATTGTTCCTTCAAACGTTCTAATGTTTTCTTTTTCTTCTCATAAACACTATAGGGAAAAATAATACTTAAATATATATTCTTGATGTATATATATAAAGGAAAATATTACAAATAAAATATTACATACACTTTTTCTTTAATTGAACCATGTTTCGCATCACGTTTTGCATCTTTTACTTGTAATTCTGCTTCAGTTATAGCTTCTTTTTTAGCCTCTATTTTTGCTTTTAAATTTTCCATAGATTTTGCATGCGTTTTTGGCACAGAACGTTGATGATTACATAATATAGCAACAGCTCTATTAGCTCTATTATATGCCAAAATTTTTTCTGCTTCTGTGTCATCAGGATTTGTTAGCTTATCTAATTGTTGTTGCAACGTCCATGATGCATTGTATGTCCTAAATACTTTAGCAGTAAGACCTTCCATTAATTCATTCAGATGTTTATTCATGACTGTAGTGTTCAGTCGATCAAATAAATCATCATTAGGAGATTTATTTTCCATGAATAATTGCAGATTTTTGAAAACTCGTTTTTCTACTGGCACTTCGTTATAATATCTTATAGAATCTTTACCTAAAATAAAACGGAAAAAGGATGTATATAATTATACATTAAATATTATCATTAATATAGAAATTCTTACCTAAGAAATCAAATACAACTACATATTCTTTTCCATCTTTTTGTTCATGCAATGTGATATGCTCAACACGCAGAGAACAGCAACCTACAGTATCTGCTTGATCTTCATCTTTCTCATTACCAGCTCTAAGTGCTAACTTATCAATAAAATATAAAGCTACAGCTCTTTGTCTAATACGCATTTCTTTGCTTTTCCAGTCTTCTCTATATTCTGCACGAATTTTATCAATTGATGCTGCTAATTTTCTTGCAGTTTCATACTTTTGCCAATCTTTTTCACCTTTCAACTTACTTGAAGGATTAAGCATAACATACTTAACTTGTCCTTGGATATTTTCTGTCCAAGAAGCCAACCAAGTTACATTAGGATCGTGTCTAATTTCCTTCCACTTATGGCCATCTGGTGGTTTCGGAATATTAGAATCTTTCGAACAATTAATAAGAACATCTTCAGGCAAAACTCTCTTTTTTAACTTCCCCATTTTTGGATGTTCTCCCCGACCTCTAAAAAGTCCTGGAGGTTCTATTTTAAAATTACCTATTTTTTCTTTATGCCCATCAATAATACAGAAACCATATTCTTTTTGAATTTCCTCGTTTTGCTCTTTTATTTTCTTTTTTTCTTCTTTCGACATTGCTTTTCTTTCTTCACTTTTCTGAACAAAATATGCATGTAGTTCTTTAAAATTACATTTACTCAAATCAACAATTTTATTTCTTTCAGATTCTGTCATTACTTCTCGCCAATCATGAAAGAAATTGTTATTAAACGCTTCCTTGGTCGTATAATCATGATCCAACATGCGTGCATAAAATGTTGCAACTTCTTCTGCACCTTCACTTAATTTCATTTCTTTATTATTATAATAAAATTTAACACTAGGAGGAAGTGGTTCATATGGAGGTGCAAAAACTGGTCCTTTGTGTTCCAGAAAAGTCCATTTTGTTCCATCATTTTTCTTTTCTTCTTCCCACCTAAAATAATATTTTATTATTATTTCGTTTTATAAATCAAGTTGTGATTCTTTAATAATTTAAGTTATAATAATTTAAACAGAAATCAACGTTTCAATAAATGTGATCTAAATAAACATAACCTTAAAAGAGACTGAACATTTACACATTTAGATTTCTTGTAATAACGACTATTATTAAACGGAATTCTTATTGAATATAGCATCACTGTATGTATAAATCGTTTCATTTTAATATTATATATTAAATTAATAAACAGATAGATCAGTATTTTCATACTAACTAAAATCAATTAGTAATATTTCCCGTGAGATTAAACATACACGCGGAAAATACAACAGAAAGAGGTTAGGTGATCATATGATCATGCACCAAGAATAAACCAAACTAATTCGAAGAAATGTACCACATATTTTACCATTTCCAAACATCTTGTTCATCTTCTTGCTTTTTCTTTCTAGGACTAGTTGTTTCGCCTTTTATAGGTTTATTACTTTTCTTCTTTGGTTTCTATCAAACAATATATATTCAGTAATATAATACATAATACACATATATTATACATATCATATATATATACATATAATAGAAAATATTAATGAATAATTTACCTCATCTACTTCAGATTCTTCGTCTTCATGTTTCCGTTTCTTTCTTTTTATCTTTGAACCAGTTTTCTTGGTTTTTTTGCGGGTAGAGAGTGGAAGTTCTTCTTCATCATCTGATTCAACTTTTCTTTTAACATTTGGTGTGGACATTGATCTTGCAAACTATACACAAGTTAATATTTATGTGTGTTATTGTTATTATAGAAAATAAACTGTTATAAACTATTTCTTTATATAGTACATAAAATCTAATGTAAATATTATCGTATAAATTGGACAAAATTCATTGATGTATATATATTTAGATATATATCTTAATATTTAAATTAAGATTAATATGTTTACCAATGGTACATCTTCCTCAGATTCTTCTTCAGTTTTAAGAGTTGTATTATGAAGGTCTGAGAGTCTTGTGTCATTTCCATCTGTTGAATCCATACTAGCTTCATCTTTAATAGGTTCATCCTCATCTTCTTCCTTGATAAAAAGATGTGGTTCTTCACCACTATCATCATCATCATCATCTTGCTCCATTTGAGATATTTGTTCCTGATATATGTTAATGCAATATGTTAAAGAAATATGAAAGGAAAGAAAAGGAAAATTCTATTTTACCTCTTTTATGTCTGGTTTTATATCATGATTATAACAAAAACTTTCATTTATAAGATGATTGGGTTTTACTTCTACATCTTCTTTATTTCTAACTTCATCTTTTTCTTTCTCCTTTTTATCTCTTTCTTCTCGGTGTTTAGCTGTAAATTTTTAAATATAAGAGATATAGAGAAAACAATCAATTATTTGTTAAAAGTATAATATAACCTACATTTTTCTTTCTCGTGCCTATGACGATCTTTATCTTTTTCATGACGATGTTTATCCTTAGTTGATGAACTATGTTTATCCTTTTCTCTATCAGAAGAACGATGTTTCTCTTTGTCTCCAGAATGAGAACTGGAATGTCTTTCTTTATCCTTTTCCGATGAATGTTTTTTATCTTTTTCTTTATCCTTTGCAGAATCTCTGTCTTTATCCTTCTCACGAGAATTTGAACTCAATGAATTATGCCTATGCTTATCCTTCTCTTTGCTTCTTGAACTTTCTTTATCTTTATTGGAGCTCTCTTTATCCTTGGAAACATTATGATATCTAAAATAAATTTATAAAAAATATATATATATTTTTTTTTTCCAAAATATACAAAGAACCTTTTTTTTTCTTAATACCTGTCTTTTTCTTTTGAACTCGAACTAGATTTATGATGATGATCCTTATCTTTACTTCTGTCTTTTTCTTTATCTTTACTAGATGACGACCCACTATGCTTATGATCTTTTTCTTTGCTCGTTGATGAACCACTTTTTTTCTCCCTGTCTTTATCCTTGCTACTACTGCTACTATCATGCTTTTCCTTATCTTTGGAGGAACTAGAACTATGTCTATGCCTGTCTTTATCCTTCTCCCTGTGATCACTTTTGTGACTTTTTTCTTTTTCTTTACTTCTGTCTTTATCCCTATGTTCTGACTTATGAGATCGCTCCTTTTCCTTATCTTTATGTTCAGATTTATGTTCCCTTTTCCTATCAAATCCATTAGACATGCCATTCATATGAGCATCTAAACAAAAAATATAAATTTTGTAAATTGTACTTGGGTTATATTTAAGTCTTTACATCATTATATAAACATATAAATAAATAGAAACAAATAGAAGTTATATACATAAACCTATTTATATGGAAAATACATTTGCTCTTTTATAAATATAAAAACTATAATCATCATTACTATAAAATAAAATTCACATTCAATCGACATAAATAATTTTCTTTCTTATATCACTTATATAACTTAATTATTTTTTATATTTAAATTCTTCTTTTTATATAATATAAACGTAAGCTTACTGAGCATCATTATAAAATAATTTATATATATATGCGTTGACGAAGAAAAAAATAATATTTAATATAATATACATTTAAATTTTGTAATACATCAAAACTTTAAACATTTTATCTCATAACTATCTAATTTTACTTATCTTCGTAATAAAATGGAACATAAATAATTTTCTATGGATAATATATTACATAGCACCTATTATATATAGCCAACTATGTTGGCAATATATACCACCATACGTGTACGTATACGATCGAGACTTTCATTTCCGATCATATTCAATTTCTTTCAGAGAGTACAAACAACTTGTCTCGACTCGTAAAGCTCGGAAACGTGTAAAAAGCTGTTTTTACTCTCGGCAGTAATAAAATGTGATATGAGAAAGAAAAATGAAAAAGAAAACAAACGAAAAAAAATGAAGTTCACATCTTCGATATAAAAATTGTAAGTTTCGAAGGCTTCCTCAGAGTGGAAACACGTGTCCGAGCGCTTGGGTCGTTGGCAGGATAAGTTGGTCCGTTCGCTTCTCGTCGCATCGGAACTCGACTGTTTGCCTCCTAAATCGCCCGAATTTCATGATCTCTCGTACAAGAGAATACGCATACTACAGCTGCGAATAAATCAACTCACCATTATGATTACCCACAACGCTACTGTTTTCCTTCGACCGTCTTTCCTGAAAGAAAACAAAAAAAAAAATTGTATTCGATCATTCAAGCAAAATTATACACGATGATCGTTTGAAAAACAATATAAAAATCCTAAGGAGAATGCACAACTCATCGTTGGACTTAACGTCTGGATAGGTCGCTCGCTCATGATAAAGTTGGACTTAGTCGCAGACGCCATTTTGGGACTTAGAAAAATTCCGCGTCTATCCTCGATAGGTATTACCAAGAGAAAAGTCCCGTTAAACGAGAGTAAATTGAGAAACAATACACGTACGTTTAAATAATTTTTTTAAAATATACGAAATCATAACTTACCAGATTGGAATTTGTTTCCGATATCGGCTGCTCGAGATCCATTTCTTGCCGTATCGAAGCTTACGGCTGATAGACTCTGGCAGCGCGAGACCTAACAGAAGCGAGAAGAGCACCGGGAACGCACTCACACAGAGTACTGACTCGGCTACAACTATATGTTTCGTGCGTGACTTTGTCTACAGAGTCCTCACTAGCATAGAAGAGCAAGACACAGCAACGGTTAAGTATCAAAAATGCGTCATTGCGCATGCACCTACCTGACTCCGCCCCTTCGATCCCCGGTATGACCCTCCATCCGACAATTCTCTCTCCCTCCTATTTATTACTTTTCTTTCTATCGGACGTATGCCACATTCGCTTTTTCATCTGTCATGTGCTTTATTTTTTTCTTTCACAGTTATTTCTTCATTTTTCGATAGATCAGGTTAGATTTTTTTACACACTCATAATTTATATTTAATTATTGCCGATTTTATCTTTCAATATTATTTTCAATTTTTCCTTTGATATTTTCTTTCATCGAATGTTAAAAAGCTTTCTATATATAAAGGATCAGTGCAGATAAGGATTTTGAGGATGAATATGTGAAAGAATTGTAAAAATATTTCAGAAATATTATTTTTATGTTTTATCGAAGATGCGTTTAATACTGAAGTCATTATTTGTTTCTGGCTACAAAAACTCATTGTCAGATATATCATGAAATTTGTATCTATATTTTAATCAGTATAATGACAAAATTTTTTAATATATAAACAATTATACGAATGAAGAAAGTAAATTTTTATTACTGTATATTATGGAACATATTTTTATCTTAATTCTATTGAAGGAAACATTTTTGAAAATGTCTGTGATTGGAGACTAAGTCTGATTATATATATTTTTCTATGGTAACAAAATAATTTATATGATATAAAATCATTGATCATGCATTGTGTAAGCCATTAATAATGTCATTCTAAATATTTTCATCGTGAAATAAAGAACTTCTTTTGTAGCTTCACTTATCCTGTCTTATAATGGCTTCATTGTTGTTTTCATCCTCTTGTTCAACTCTAGTCTACTTCTTTTTTTTGAAATGCAAATACTGCATAAAGTGCTGTAAAAATGATTAGTTTATTGAAAGTTCACAAATTCAAGAAAATATATGCAAAATATATTTTTTGTCAGTTAAAGTACATATTTCTTTTACTTACACGTAACTTCCCATTCTGCTTGAGACAACGTGCCGATTTTACGGTGGCCTGGTAGATTTTGCATATAATTTATAGCATGTTGATAATCTTGTAAAGGTTGTCCCAATAATGGGCTTTCATGATACGGAGGATAAGTTTCCAAAGCTTGCATTTTACCCAGTAAAGATTTGCCTTCATTCTTCATGCGTTCATAGTAAGTTTCAAATCTACACACATAAAAATACATGATTATATTATACAAATAATATTATGAATTAAAAAAATTATATTTTACAATTTTTTAGAATATTTATATTACCTTTCAAACATTACTAATTCAAGACCAAATTTATAAGCTAATTTGCAGAGTGTAGGGAGATGAACAAGAAATTCTGGGCAATTAACTACACCTTCAAGATGAAAATTATATTTAGCACCAAAAAAAGGTGGTTTCAACTTATCTTTACATAAAAATTCTACGGTATAAACATCATTTCCAAACTTGTTACCATCACACTTTTGCCATCTAGAACTAATAAGAAAATTTTACAAATTAATTTGTAAATATATATATTATTTTGACCATTAATTATCATTTATAAAAAAAAATATATTTTATTTAGAATGAACTGATTAAGCAACACAATATTTATACATACACTAAATCATAAGCATCTGGAACAGTTCCAATAAAATAACCACCTGGCCTTAAGCATTCACTTGCATTTCGAAGCATACATTCTGTTTGTGATAGTGATTCAAAACTATAATGAAATGCAAACTGACAGCTCACAAGATCAAATTGTATAGTAACATCCTTGTATTTTTCCCTTAGGCATACCTAAAACTCGCTTTTATAACCAATCCCATTGACAAAATTATAATATAGAACATCAAATTTTTAAACATTAAAATTATATCATAAGCCAAGTATAAACAGTTCCCAAAATTGTAATGACTAAATACCTTTGTACAGTCTGCTGCAATAAATTCAGCAGTAAAAATAGGTGCAAATCCCCTTACTTTGGAACTTTTGTTTAAAATATCACTATATCGATTTTTACACTGTTCAATTGATATTTCAGCTATATCGGCACAGATTAAATGACTAATCTCTCCTTTTTTCCATTTGAGAAGATCGCCACCTTTACCGCAGCACATATCAAGTACCTTCAATGGGCTGTTATGATTTTTGTTTTGTTTTATTTTAGTTAAATATTCGTCTATGAAAAAAGAAAAAATACATATATACATATTAATAGAAAAAAATATATTTTAAAATCATATTAAATAGTGAAGAAAATATACTTACTTATAAGCATACTTTTGATCCAATTGTTAAAATTTCTCATGTACACAATACGACTTTGATTCCTTTGTGAAAGATGTGTTTCTTCAATTGCATTGTAATGTTCAGCAACTAATATAGCATTATCTGCTTTTTCATTGTTTGAAACATTACGACTATCTCTACTGCTTCCAATAGACAAGTCTGATGGCCTGCTTGAATACTGTAATATGTAATATTGAAATTATTAGAAAGTTTATTAACATTAGTTTTAATTACTACTATTTATGTTCAAGCAAACTTACATATGATGTATCTTGTCCTGTATCAGTTTTTAGTTTATTTTTCTCTAACAAATTACTTTCTTTTTCCTCCATTACGGACATTTCAGAGCGAAGTAAAGTAATATAGGTTATTGAAAAAAGTTGATGTAAAAAACGTTTGTATAATTCTCAGATAATATTAAAATTATACTCCAAATGATATTAAACGAATCATGATTACATTCCAGAATGAAACGATAACAAATCTTTCATTAATAATCATACAGATGCCAATACTTACAGTCAAAGTTCATTGTTATTAAGTAGATAGGAAACTATAATGTTGACTTGAGTACGATTATTGCGCATGTGTTATATGATTCACATTGATTGGTCATTATTTAAGCAATTGTATGTACTTAAATCGAGTATATAGCATATTAAAATTTATATATTAAAATTAATAATAAGTAATATTTATTTGAAATATACTATGCTTAAATATGCTTAATACTATTCTTAAAACTATATAAATAAGCTTAAACAGTTAATTTATAAATTCTTTATAAATATTGTTATATAAATTTTTGACTAACATCATTATTTCTATCAATACACTTTTTATAATTTAAGAAAAATACGTTTTTATACTATGGTGTAAATTATAATATTGAATATATTCTAATTAAATTATGCTGCTTGAATATTTTCAGTTATAACATTTTTTCGTCTATCTTTAAATAAAATAGAACATTTAAAATTGGTTTATTTTAGAAACTGTACTAAAAAGAAAAGAAACTTTTTCATAGTTTTCTTATGAACATAAAAAAAAAAAAAATAAAATCAGTGATTTATACAATATCAAAATTTCTTTATTTAGTTGGACATCTAGAAACTGATTGATCTTTATTAAAGTTCTCGTTGGTAGAAACACGAATTGTGAATGGCCGCGAAAATGGCAGCGGCAGAGTTAAAAGAGAAACATGCTTCATTTGTTGGAATTGCGAAAAGTAATATATCACAAACAGTTTCACACAGAGAAATCGAATGCTATCAGTTTAAGATAAAAGATCTGTTATATTATTTATGTTCTATCTTTTTTCTTTTTACGGATACTATAACAGGTGAATAACGAAAGCGTTATAACGAATGTTTCTTGTATTTGATTAAATATTTTTATTTATTTATTTCTTTATTTATTATATTATGTAAATAAGTTTTTAATCACCGAATTATAGAAAATTTTGGTCAAATTATATTCTGATTGTAACAATTTTAATTTAATGTACAATATGAACAAAAGAAAATTTTCAAATTTGGATAATATATTTTATCAATGATATATTACAAAAAGTTTAATATTAACCATTAAAGCATTACTTTGAAAAAATATATATTTCCAGTAATTGTAATATTAAATGAATGGTATTTGATAATATTATATTATACACAGACAGCTTTGTATTTGTGCAATATCTTTTGCAAGGATATACATTATGGGGATGTTTATCAATTAGTTTTACAATTATACCAGCTGGTATTATTCAGTTATTCAGTTTGAGATGGCAACAAAGTGATGGCTCTGTAAAATTAATTCACTGGATATCACATATTTTTTTCTTAGGAGTATTCCATAGGTGAATATATTTTATATTTATACTGTGAATTATATTACAACTTAAGTTATACATTTTTATACTTTTAATTATTGTTTATTGTACTGATATTTTTTATTTTCAAAATATATTCAATTTTAGTTCATAAAAATTTTATTTTATTTATTAATATATTAAATTTTGCATTCAGAGTATTTTTTAGTTGCAAATCTTTTTTTTTTTGTATCAATAATGATTCTTTTTTCTGTAGGTATTTGATTTTATTATATACTGCTGTGTATTCATTGAAAAATAAACAATTTATAAAGGATAAGAAGTCAGTATATAGAAAAGAGAGTGATATTTGCATGTTACAATTATTTAAGTCTTTCATGGGAGCAGCACCACAACTTGTATTACAGTTATACATTATTGTCATATTACACGATGCACCTATTTGGACAAGTAAGTTTGTTGAGTATAATTTATTACAAAAAAATATTAACCCTTATATACATATTTAATATAACTTAATATAAATCTGGAAAGTAAGAAAATAATTTAAAATCTTTCTCATAAATTTTATATATTTTCTGAAGGAGTAATTTTGGTATATTTTCTAAATATTTTCTCAACAAATTGCTAGTCGTGCGACCATATGGATTAATATTTTTAAAGCCACTCTTTTTGTATAAATAGTATTTTAATCCAGTCTCTTGCATGAAAAAGCGATGATCTTCTTGAAAAGTTTCAAATTTGAGAATATAATCATAATGAATCATGCATGGTTTGCAAGTATCATAATATGGAGCCCAGTGTTCATCAAAATACTTTTCATGCACAATAAATTCTAAAAATTCTTCAAATGTAGGTTCTAGTTTGGTTCTAGTTGAATTTTTGTGTTTACGATATTTATGTGTAATGTGCCGTCCAAATCGTTTATAATAATATTCCCTTCCATTCATATGCTCCAACTTATCTCTATATGCAGACAAGAGACGCTCGAAAGGATGTCGTACAATTAAAAATTTTTTAGTAGCACGTAATTTCTGTAATATAAAATTTCATAGCTATATAATTCAATAAAATATTATTAACAAATTATTTAACAAAATCCATTACCTTAAGTGTTTTATTTAGATTTAAATCGGAAGGAAATGCTTGTTTAACAATAGTATTCATTTGAATTGCATTTTGATGAATTAAATTCATGGTTGTATCTGTTAAGATACCTGCAAGTATTGCAAAATTCTTCATCCAGGTTGAACTACCCACCTTATATATAGGACACCATGATATACCATGTTTTCTAGCGATCGTATGTAAAATATTAAATAATAAGTTTATTCATATGAAACATTGAAGTATATTACTTACATGTCATGTATTGATTATAGCCTTAATACTTACGTATCAATAATTATATTAGGAAAATTTCTATTTTGTTGTAACTCTTTATCAGTATAATTTTTACACATATTCTTTATTTTTTGTCTTCTTCCATTTAATTCTATTCTCTTATTAGTCAGTTCTGTAGACGATAAAACTATATCTAAATTACTAACAATAATTTTCTCAAGCTTTTGATCATATTGTTCTGTATATTGCTGTATATCTTTTGCAATGCTGTATGCTTCTACTTCATTATTTTCTTCACTCAAATTATTCCATGGCTTTTCCAAAGTTATTAATAAGGTAAATAATATAGTAAAAATTATTATTAATTGTAATATAATTTTTTTCTATAAAAGGTAAAATATTTATATTAATTAATGTAATATTAGCTTCTTTGTATTATTTGTTTCAATACTAATATCTATAATTAATATTACCTGCAATAATATGGTTTTGTTTTTTATATAAAAATGTAAGAACTTCATAAATTTTAACCATAAGTTTTTATTATCTGTGTAATGAACCATATCAAATCTTGCGATTAAACATAAGTTTGTATTGAATACTTATTATGAAGTTAGTATATTTTCACAGCAAAAAAGTAACACAGATATAAAAACACATTTGTTTCATGCTATGTTATATGAATAATTTTATAAGTATCAATAAAAATACAATATAGGTATGATATTATTTCGGTATAATATTTAAACTATTCATTTTTAAAAACTATGAAGAACAGTAGTATTCATATGTTAAATCAAGTTTGAGAAGTAACAGCTAAACTAAACTAAAATGATTGGGTCTTCCTTCCTTACATCCTTTGTCCCGCCCCCAAAGATAACAAACTTGGATGAGTATATCTCTGAAAATTTGCTATCTATTCTTTTATAATATTCTTAGCTATACTGATATAAAATCTATGCATGGAACACTTACTTTTCAGTTTTAAAAATACATTAGACTCCTACCACTGTGATCATTTAATAGGCTAAAAATAAGATACTACAGAAGCTATAACAGAACAAAATATGTAAGCATTATATGTATATATCCTTCAATCAACCATGTATTTTTTATTGTTTTTGAATATTTCATTATGTATTACTTTTCTATTACAATTGCATTTATAGTAATGAACTTAAATATTATTAATATAGGTATGTCAACTATGGCTTCTCTTTGTTCTTTAATTTGGGCCATAGGAACATATATAAAAGCCATGCACAAAATTAATCCCAATCACAATAATGAATCTTGGATATCACTGATGCTTCAATATCTTTGGAGAGGTGGAATGTTAACTTCAAGGCTAGCTGTATTAGTATTAATAGCAATTTGTTTGAGAAAATGGTTTTCCTTATTTCTTGGTGAGTTTGTTTATATCAATTTAAAATCTTATAATAAATTCATATCATTAGATTTATTTTTTAGAGAAATAATCAATTCTCTTATTTCCAGGCTTGCATTGGTTATTTATGACTGTTTGGGTAATTCTTCAAAACACAGACTTTTGTTCTACTATTTGGGAAGAACGTATTTATAATTGTATTATAGGGCTTATTTATTGTTTTGATTTTTTTAATTTATGTGAAGGAAAATCTCGTTATAAGGTATTTGCATTTTATTTGATAATAGTGATCGAAAATTTATCTTCTTTAGTAATTTATATGTTAAATTTTAAACAAACAATAACAATCGATATATTGATATTAATGATATTTTTTATTGTTGGGGGTATGCTAATCGGTCTTATAAGTATGTTATTATATTACACTAAATTTCATCCAACAAGACACCTAAGTTTAGATAAAGTTAGTAGTCAAAATTCAAATGTTATTGTCATTAGTAATACAGATACTCCTCGATCTTTTAAGCAATATTATTGTGATCCATTACCACAATCTTCAAATATGTCTACAAGGATGATAACTGAGGAAGTAACAGCTGACAAACAATTTTTGTTAACTAACATCGTACAGAATACTGATTGCTTAGAGGAAGGTATTGTTAATGAAGCTTATAAAATAGAGAATGAAATAAAAACCGCTGAGCACATGGTTTCTAAATGCGAAAAATCACCTAATTCTTCGTTGAAAGATAGGGAAACTTTATCAGTTCACAATAAAGATATATCGATTATTAATTCATGTCTTAAATGTAATAGAATAGTTCGTAATAATTGTAAGGATACATTTAATGTTATCTGTAATTGCATTGAGAATACTATTCCTTTAGAAAATAGTCTTTCTACAATTCATCATAGGAAACGAAGAGGTATTTGTTTACCTGTTATAGATGATTTAGATAAGGAAAAAAACTTCACTGTGATAAATTCCAATGTACATATTTCTTCACAAAAGCGTGGGGATATATGTTCTTCAGCTCAACATACACTTGCAATCGATACAGATGTAGAAAGATTGAAATCTGATTTCAAGCATTGTGAAATTCCTATTGCAAATTCAGACATAGATTTAAAATCTAATAAATCTGTAGATAATAAAAAGTTTTGTTCCTTGGAAAAAACACTCAGAGACATTAATGGTGTTTTAAATACTATAAGAAATAAAGAGGAATTACAAATTGCAACAATTTCTCATGGTGATAAAGATTCAGATACAAATAAATTATCTAAAGATTTGCAACAAAAAGATGAAACAATGAGTTGTGTTACATCAATTCATGATTATGAAAATGTATGTCCATTAGGAGTTGCAAGACCACCATGGTGTATACGTAGTTGGAAGGGTTATACAGACATAGAAACTTATCTTCATGATGATAGTGTTGTCAGAGATAGACGTAGAGATACTTTAACAAGTACAACTACTGGAACAACATATAGCTCAGATTTTTCTGATGGAACGTGTACAAGTTCCTTGATAAGAAGAATTTTAAAACAAAATGATTATTTAGATACTTTGACTTATGATATAGTTGATTCAAATGAACTTAAAGTGAAATGCAATAATGATCTATATACATCGTCGAACACAGAGGAACAAAATGCCACATTATATGCCGCAAAACCGATAGTAATAGACGATACAGGCGGGATGTTTTCGTTAGATACTATTGTTGAAGAACATGATAATGATGACGATGACGATGACGATATTTTCTCTGTAACTACAAAACCTACAGAACCAGCTTGTACATCAGTGAGTTCCCTTGTAAATACTATAGATCAAATCAGAACATCGGCAGCTGAAAATTCACCTAGACATATTTATCACAGAACAGAATCGCATTGGAGTGATATGACACAAAAAGATTTATCATTTACAAATATGTTGTTTTCCAATAAGTTTCATGATACTCTTGTGGATGATGTAAGTTTTGCAAAATCACCAGATAAATCTACAGATAAGATTGCAGAAAAATGTGAATTAAATACAATTAGAGAATTGGTAAGGTCTTGTACAATAGAGTCAATTAAAAAAACTCCTTTAATTGACGCTATATTGTCTGACTCTCCAATTTTAGGAAATAGAGCCAAAATTCAAAAACAAATGAATGGGACAACCAGTTCTCATGTATTTAATTCAAACGAACATGACTTATATATTGAAATGAACTCTTTAATACCTGTTGTTAATTTAAAAGATACATGTATTGACATAATAGATGATAAACCATGTGATCTGAAAGTTATTGCAGAAAATAGAAATTTTAATGTATCAACATCTATATCAGACAAATCTGTAAAAGAGTCATCAACATCTGTGTGCTCTATTAATGATGTTATTAGTGATAATCATTGTAAAAAACAAGAAAAAACGATTAGTTACACAAAAAAAAAATGGTCATTATTAAAAGAAAAATTTGAACCAAAATCACAACTTGTATATATGGTTACACCAAACAAAGGAATAACAGTAGAACACATGAACTTTACAAAAAATTCAGAGACATTAACTAAAAATGTTTCAATTGTTTTAAAAAAAGCACCCAGTTTATCTTTTACTCATGATAAAGAAAACTTAGCTCCAATTTCTACAGTAAAAGATAATATTACTAATAAATATAGTGATGTATATTTAGAAAAAAGCAATAACATTTACGAAAATGAAGAAACATTATATAATGTACAATTTAATATGAAAGATAAGAGACACGTTTTTTTAGAACAAGTTTTAAAGAGAAAAAAATCTTTTATACAGAATATAAAAAACTTGTAAAAATTATTTCATATTATTTTTTATTTTAATTCATACAAATTATTTATAGTCCGTTGCAACTTGATATAAGAATATTTTAAATTTTATTGAACAAATATATAATTTTCAGTTCTAATGATATATAAGGATCAGTGGTTATTAACCACATTAAAGTTATATTATATTTTAAATATTTTATTTGTTATATTCAATGTGTAAACATTAACAATTAAATTCATAATACGTATTTTGAATAGTATATATATAGAATAATTTTATTTTTATACTCTATATATTGAACATATACACACACATTTCAAAGTAAATTAAGTTAATATACAATTATATATATCATATATATATAATACTTTTTCCAAAATTTTTTGTTATATACAAAATGAATTGTATATAATAAAAATCTTTTATATGTACAATTATAATGTTTACTACTAGCAATATTATTCCTTGACATGGACTACAAATCAAATGAATAAAATAGAAGAACGAAATATTTTGTAAATATATTAAGATTATTTAATTATTTCCCGTCATAATAATTATAGACATAGTTATTCTGTTAGTTGGAATTATCATTAGTCACTTGCACAATGTAATTTAATGAACTTTTAACTGTCAATCCTACAAATTAACTAAAGGTTAATTGAGGTTTTCTTTCTCTCTCTCTCTCTTCTCTCCCTCTCTCTCATCTGTTATATATATACAACACATAAATATGAGAATGCAGTATAATAAGATAAGTTGCATGAAGTTCTTTCTAAACTGCTAGTCATGGAGTAAATATTTATTATATAATCATAATGGTAAAAGTGCCTTTATCACAGATTAAGCTGAGGAAGAATTAATATAAAAGTTTTCATTTTAACATGTTTAGTGTCGCATCACTTTTTGCCATAGTTGCTTGTTAATGCAAATGAGTAATGCGACACTCAACGTATTAACAAACCAAAGAAAGATCAAACATGGAAAATTTACCAGTGTTTGAATCATAATCGAATAATAACATTAGCGACATTCGTTTGCTTTATTTTTCGTTTATTTTATATTGTAACAATATCTTATATGAAATACGATTTTTGAATAACATATAATAATGTAAATTGTAGTAAATGCTTCTTTATATATTAATAAAATCTACTGTTAAATAAAATAGTAAAAATTTAAAGAATGTGAATTTATATACATATTCATAATGTGTATATAAAAAAAATAAATTATCTGATATGTTTAATTGACTAGATTATACACAAAAATTTAAGAATATTTTAAATTATCATACATTTTTAACCAGCTTTTAAATTAGAATGCTCTGTTTCTTACTTGTAGTATTTTCATACTTTTTGATCCATTTGATGTGACAAATAAGTGGTAAACTATACACATTTTTACATAATCGTGTAACTATAGAAATTTTATTAAGTTCTTGAGCTACTTGATGTAAAGATTTTCCTTTTGTTTCAGGAATAAACAAAAAGATATAAAATATGGTGATTAGACACATAAAGCTATAAAATAAATAAGAACCAGCTAAAGTCATTGATTCTGTAAAGAAAAATAATAGTAATATTAATTTTTCTTTCCCAGTATTGATTAAAATATTTAAAATATACATAAAAACATATGACTTACTTATAATTTTATTGACAGTTTCAATAGTTAAGATATGAGTTGTCCACATAACAGTTGTTGCAAAACTAGCACATTTACCACGTATTGATACAGGAAAAAATTCGCTTAGATTCAGTAAAGGGACTGGGCCAAGCCCTAATGTATATGCTGCTTCATATACAAGTAAAGTTGTCACTGCTAAGATACGTAAACCATTTGTGAAACCTTCTGAGAAGACAACACCTTGAGTCTGTAATTTATATAGTTTATATACATGGTACAGGATAACAATATATGTTTTTATAGAACATTATTCTTTTTTTGTTATAATGTAAAATTAATTACAGATTATAAGCAATAATTTTTTAGTTACCTCACAGGATGCTTTTATTTGTGTCCAAGTTTCAGGAGTTGATTCAATTACAGCTAAAGGTGTAGGTAATAAAGGAAATGGTGGTGGAGATCCAATTGGTATAATGTTCTGTATTTTTTTTTCAGTAACAAGTTTGCAATGTGTATCTTCAATATCTATATTGTTACTATCCCTATCTATTGTTGCAAGTAAAGATAATAATGATATAGTTGTCATACATATTGTAGCCGATGTTATTAGAGCTGTACGTCTTCCACATTTTTCTACTATCACTAATGACAAAATTGTACTGAAAATTTTAACGATTCCCAAAGATAGTAAAGAAGTAACTTCTGCTGTATCTAAAATTTTACAAAATAAAATATAAATTTACATATATTTTATTAAAATGTTGCAAATGAATATTTTCATCTAAGACTCACTTGAACAAATTCCCAAAAGTACAAATAATCTTGGTGCATAATATAAAACTTGTTCTCTGCCAGTTCCTTGTTGTAAAATCATCATAAAAACCATGATTGACAATATTTCAAAAACTGTATGTTTTGAACCTTTAGATGTTGTTTTAGAAATAACATTTTTTGTTCTTTTTAATAATAAAAATGGTGGAGATTTCTGAAGAAACAGAACAGTAATAATGCAAGCTATTAATGCAGAGATAACGGTTATGCCCAGCGAGCACCGCCATTGATGATCCAAAGTTGTGGAAAAAGCAGCAATAATAGTTATTAAAAATCCTATAGCTGCACCTAATTGATACAATATAATGTTATATCCTCGTTTATTTGACTCTGATACTTCAGCCATATATATGCAATGGGATATTGTAGATACTGTACTAGAGTAACCACAAATAATTCGAGAGATTAATAACAAAACATAATGATTAACTAATGCAGATAAAATGGTACCAAATATTAAAAACATCAGCATTAATATCATTGTCCAACGTCTGCCAAAAGAGTCTATTGCAATGCCTATAAATAAATAATGAATAAAACTACTAATAATAAAATGTGCAATGCAATTTATTATCACTTAATATGAATTTTATATTTACCACCAGTTAATCCTCCAAGGAGTGCACCCATAAACCAAATACCAATAAGAAGATTTACTTCAAAGCAATTCAACTCAAATTCATTTTTGATAAAAGGTGCCATTGGTTTTATTATAGACATATCGCAACCAAAAGCTATACCTGCTGACAGTGCCACCATTGAAATTAGAATATTTTGTTTTCTTGATGTTATATTTTGCAATGGTATTAAGTTATCATTTTGTTTTGGAATTTGTTTTTTTAAATTTCTCTCAAGAATACATTGATAATCTTCATTCACTGATTTATTTGCTATTGATTCAATATTGTTATTTCCATGATTTAATAATATAGTAGTATCCTCTTCATCTGACATTTTTGACTAAAATAATGAATATAATGAATACGATGAATAATAAACTTATATAAATTATTTATAACAAAAACTTTAGTAGCAATATTTTTGATTACTGTTACATGACGTGCTCTAAGAAGAAATTTTATTATTGATCTGTTACAAAAAACAACTAACCGCCAAGTTAGTTGATATGCGCGCTTCTGTTTATCTTACGTTTTGACATTTACTTGCATTTAAAATAGATATGCATTCCAAAAATATCACAATCTATAGATAAGAGTCTTTAGCCATTTGCGCTATCTGGTGATTAAACTACATAACAAATAGTAAAAATACTTTAGTATTTGAAAAATATTAAAGTTATTAGACAGTCACAGGAGAAACTTTATTTCAATGCGTTGCATAATCCTTGATAAAAGGAAATATAAATAATAATAACATTTATAAAAAAATTCTTGAGATGATGTAAATAGGACAAAGCATATTGCGGTAGATTAGAATATACTGAATATCGTAAGAAATTGTTAATAAATATCGTAACATTATAACATTAAAATATAGTAATATATATAACATAAAATACAATATAATATACAATATATATTAAAGATTTATTTATATATGTAATAATTAAATGTCAGAATACGTATTCTGCGTTATTCCCAGATACTGAGATTCGTGTAAACTTATATGAATTCATTTGAAGTTGATAATTTTCCCGTTGATGTCACTAGTATCTACTTCCGTTGCGTAATCGTCTTACCCCTCGTTGTAGCGATACCGCCACCGCCCTGCGCTGCCCTTTGTGACGCATAGTCGCGCCCGGTGGACGCGCCCTCGGTAATCGCTAGAAATGCGTTTTGCTCTACAACGTTATTGTGTGTATATTCACGATGATGACGATGATGCGTTAATGATAAATGTAAGTGGTACTCGAATTGAGAGCCACTGCTTTCCTTCATACACAGCTAGTGCATATTTAAATAAAAAAGAGAGAAGTGCGAGGCGTAGATGTGTGATATGTGGTTAAATTCAAAGATTTTGTCGGCGTACAGTCGATCGCGCTTGGATTATATTCATTGCGCAGAGAAGCCTGATTATCATTGTACAATTCATACATTGGTGAATCTTCGTCGGACGTCGTCGCCATATCCATCCCGAGGACGATCTCAGCGCAGGAGTGCCGGTGGGCACTTAGTGGTCAGTGATCAATGAACTCTACTTGTACTGTGTTTTGGCTAGTGCTGTCAGTGTACATATCTAATGGATCGACGACAACGTATGTACTTGCAAGTACATTTCAATGTAATATAATCCATAATATAAGTATGCGGAACCTCTTAAAGATTTTATCCGATTGCCGCCCCGCCTTGCCCAGAAGCGGCATTTCGTTCTTACGAAATCTTCGCCGACGCGCATATTCATCGATACCCTTTCTTCATTGGATTTTTTTACAAACTGTACAACCAATAGCGTTACTTCCTATCGTGACGATACGCACATATTCGCTATATAATATGGATTCGTATTTACATGACCCTACCCTTCGTGTTACATCGTTGGTTGGATGAATGCTTTTCTATTCTTGTCGATCTTCGTCAATTTAATTCGATTGTTTCATTAAAAATAATTAACTACTCGTACGTTCCAGATAACGATAATCATCGTTCTGATTTAGATATTTAACGAGAGATCTAATATTTACAAGGAGAATATATATTTTCTTACGGTCCGTTGCTTCATTATTATGTAAATATAATCCAATAATCAAAATCTCATCTCACTTTAAAAGTATTTAATATTACTTTTTATAATTCTTTTTTTAAATTTGCAAGTTTATGACCTTGAAAACTCTATCAAGTGAATAACAAGCTGTTAGTTTATAGTGGCATGTAATTTTATTTCTTAAGGAATTAAAGATCATTAGGAATTCTTATAGGCATCTATCACATTTATGTGATATGATAGTTAATAAATTTAATTTTGCATAGAATTGAATTATTTTACAGATGACTATTTAATACTAATAGTCGTATGAAATTTTCCAAAGGAAACAAATGCAAAGTATTGCTATAAAAAATAGCATAAATGAGTGAAAATGAATGATATAGACAGCATGAGCATGAAGGGCAGTGGAGGTTCCAAAATGCCTCATAGTCATTCGACTCCAGCTGGTGTTGATGGCGGTAGTCGAACACCACCTACAACACCCAGGAAGGCGGGGAAGATGCTTGCAGTTCGTGTACAAATGTTGGATGATACTATTACAATGTTTCAAGTACAGGTAATAATTATGAATATTCACTTGCTTTATAATCAAATTCTTAAATAATCAATACAGAATTATGAGATAATAAAAATACACGAAATAAATAGTTCTATTTAATACTATAGAAAAAATAAAATTTAATTTATTATTTTTAAATACAATTAAATTTTAATTTAACATTATACTTCATGATTGTTCTTGTTAAAGTATAGTATCTTTCGAACGAATCAGAGTATCATTTTAATTCCTTGATAGAAGATAATTGAAGTGCTCTTTCAATAGGAAGTTTAACAGACATAAACGGTTGTGTAATGGAAGAGTAATTGGATATAAAGGTGATAAAAACTTGATTGGTGTAAAAATGATATTATTATTATTATATTTATATTATTGTAAAATTAAAACATTTAGATCTTATTCTTTTATAATTATAAAATATTAATTTCAATCTGTCTATTACTAAACATACTATGCATGCACATTATAAGTAATTAATTATTAGTTGTATTAAAGTTGAGAGTCATTGAATATGAGATCTTTTAAAATAATCTTTCTAAAACCAATTACTTTATAATTTTAATATAAGAAGCAATTATTTTTTAAATGCAATTATATATATATATATTTACAAGTATAAAAAATTGTAAATAAATATTATTGATTTTGATTGCGGATTATTTTTTTATAAATTCATTTGTTATTAGTATAATATACTACTTTATTAAACTTTAGTAGCAGCATCTTTATATTTTCTTCTTATTGTATATTAATCACATCATGTACTGTATGCATATATAATACTTCCACAAGAATGAACTATTGGAGCACATAAAATGTATCGGTAAATATGTATATATCAAGCACACATACAAGCTCATGGATGAAAAGAATGTGCATCAATTTATTGATTCTTTATATAACTTGCAGTGTGTGATATGTTCAGATAATTTTATTTTTATGTAAATTCCCATTAATACCAAATAATTTTGTATTTATACTTATAACAATATTTGATTATATTTGCACATGTATTGTATTTATTTCAGGCAAAAGCATTAGGTAGAGTATTGTTTGATCAAGTTTGCAAACAGTTACATCTTTTAGAAGCTGATTATTTTGGTCTTGAATATCAAGAACCTAATGGGACAAAAGTAAGTCATATATAATAATTATAAGTTAATATAGTTTTATTCATATATTTAAATTGAATTACTTATGTATAATTTGTTTTTACAGTATTGGTTAGATTTAGAAAAACCAGTATGTAGGCAAGTGGGATTATCATTGGTTGATCCTCTTCTCAGATTTTGTGTTAAATTTTATACACCAGATCCTGCACAACTTGAAGAGGAGTTTACAAGATATTTATTTTGTTTACAAATCAAACGAGATTTGGCTCAAGGTTTATTACAATGCAATGATAATACAGCAGCTTTAATGGCAAGCTATATTGTACAAGGTTATTATTATACTAACATAAAATTGTTAATAAATAATAATTTATTTTTAATATCACTATGATATTTTATATAATAATATAACAAGAATAAATATCATTAATCTATTTCTGAAATAAATAAAATGCTTCTTTTATTTTAGCTGAATGTGGCGATTACGTTATAGAAGATTATCCAGATCATACTTATTTATCAACATACAAGTTTGTACCTCATCAAGATCAAGAATTAGAACGACGTATCATGGAAAATCATAAAAAACACGCGTAAGTAATATAAATATTTTTTTAATTTATTAATTTCAATGTACATCAATGTAAGTATATAAAAATATAATTTATTCGTAAAATATACATGGATATTTACAGTGGACAATCTCCTGCAGAGGCTGACCTTAATCTTTTAGAAACAGCACGACGTTGCGAACTTTATGGAATAAAAATGCATCCAGCTAAAGTGAGAAGATTTTAAGTTTTCATTATAGTTTATTTACAATGATAATAAATATTGTATGGTATTTTTATTAGGATCATGAAAGAGTATCATTGAATTTGGCGGTAGCACATATGGGGATAGTAGTTTTCCAAAATTATACCAAGATAAATACATTTAGTTGGGCAAAGATCAGAAAGATTAGTTTTAAACGAAAACGATTTTTAATTAAACTACATCCTGAAGGCTATGTAAGTATATAAGTTTGTTTTTCTATTAAAATAATTTAATACAGTATTCCAGATATACACGTTATTGTATAATGTTTTATATCATTTTAGGGATATTATAAGGATACGGTTGAATTCTTTTTCGAGGGTCGCAATGAATGTAAAAACTTCTGGAAAAAATGTGTAGAAAATCATGGCTTTTTCCGTTGTTCTGTAGTTAAACACGTAGTACGACAAAAAACAAGGGTTCTTAGTCGAGGTTCATCGTTCAGGTATAGTTAAATGTGTTATATCATAATTTCTAATGTAATTAAATAAGAAAAATAACGTACTAATTATATATCATAGGGTATTTACGAATTTTAAATAATATTAAATACTTTATATCAACATCTCTTTTTATGTTATCAGATATAGCGGAAAGACGCAAAAACAAATTGTTGAATTTGTTCGTGACAATTATGTGAAGAGACAGACATTCCAAAGGTAAGTTTTATTGATGCTTTAGTAAGTTAGCTAATTAAAAAAAAAATTGGAAATCCAAGTAATTCGTAGCTAGTGCTGCATGCCGTTGTGTATTGTTTTCCTAATGTTATTTTGTAACCTTAAGATTTTTATTAACCAACGCACCAAACTTGTGAATAAGATAGGAGGTGGCACGGTCTTGCTTTTACCGGGATATTAATTGGTATATATACCTGATTATTCCACTTTCTGTAGAATAAATGATCTACTGTGTTCGTTTTTTACATTTACGTTTGTCAGTGTTGCCTGCTTGGCAGGGTGGCGGGGAGTCAGGCTCACCATCAGGCACGATTGAACCCGAATGATCAGTGTACCCTTTTTCAATAGTGTGATTACTAATTTATCATTGTAACCTAAAAATATATACTGCAGAGTATCACATTTCACTGCCCTGACGGTTTTAACCAGCATTATACTTGTCCATAGCAGTAGTCTATTCTACAACAAAAAAATAGTCTGCTATCTTCATGACACTTCATCCTTGTACATACAACTGGCGAGTGTTAACATATCGTGCGATATCGATGCACGGTTGAGAAACGCCGTCGTTAGTATTAGCAAAAGCAATCGTAACTTCATAATTAGTTCAATATCATAATCCTCATAGATCAATATCAATTAAATACAAATTATTTTCTTATTGAATATACAATGAACATAATTATTCACGTAATAAGATATAACAGTACTTGTTAGTAGTAAAGTTATATTGAATGAATTATAAACTGAATGAGTTAAGAATTCAATAATTATTATGTACTACTTTAAAGTTTTATTAGTTATCTTTTGAAAAACAGCATATAAGATCGTCGATCGTTATAGCTTACTTTTCAATTAACATTTAAATTAAATATTATATTTTAGGATATAAAAACGTAATTTAGAAGGGTTTATCGCATCGCGTTGAAACGTTATATATATAAATTTAAACTGTGATGGTATGAGCACTTACATCTGAACATTTAGACTCTCTGTCAGAAGAACCAAGAAATTTATTCTAAAACAAATAGCATGTACTTATGCATCTTATGTATCACTTATTTCTTTTTATTGTTAGTTTTTATAATGAAAATATGCAGAAAATTTAATCTGCTAATAGAATTATACTTTTGAGGTACATATATATGTATATATATATATATATATATATATATATATATATATATATATACATATATACACAAATATCTATATATATATTCGATTCTTTTATATGTTACATTACCTTAACTATATATATAAGAAACTACTCCACAATTTAAGGTTCTGCGGGGATATAACAGTTAAATAACAGTTTAAAGTTTTATTAAGAAAGGGCCAGTTTTGTGTGAATGGTTATTATTACAGAAACTTATTCAGTTCTATTATTTCATTCAACTGTATTATTCGTTAATCATACACTATATAGAAAGTATAATGGCGACATTGACCGTGTATCGTATCAAAAAACGCGTTGCAGTGGTATTTCTTTTTTCGTTTAATGATTAGGCTATTCATATTTCAGCACTGACATTTAGAGCAGATTTATATTAAAATATATTTTTTCTCTTCAAAAAGGATAATGTTTTATATTTGCCTATTACATTAGTAAGAGGAAAACAGATAAATTGAGCAGGCTTGGCATTTCGTAGCCTAAGTCTGATGCTGAACTTGACTCTCTCTTGCTCGCAGGTCCAATTCGTTCCGGCAGACTAGCGGTGGTAGGGCATTGCAGGGCTCGGAGGGGGGAGGCTATCGTGGGGCCACTCCGAGCAGCTCACTTATGGGCAGCTCCAGCATCTCTGCCCACCCCCTCCTGCCCCTCGGCGATCCTGGTATGTACCATGACCGATACCAACCTCCAAAACAGCTTTCTTTCTATTTTTGTGCCTTTTTTTTAGTCTTCTTTATCTCCTTCCTTAAATTTTGGTTATATTTTTTTTCGCAGTATTGTATTCGAAGTATTGTAACGGTAGAGTAGATTAGCGTATTATTATATATAGGAAGCTTTTCGAAACTACACAAAAACGAAAGAAACTGTACAAAAATTATTTTGGTTATTTATTATATGATGCATTATTAATTTTCAAACGAGATATATAAAATTATGAAACTATATCTATTTGTCTACGTAGTTTCGGTTTGATTGTACATGATTTACACTATGATTATATAGATTGAAAGAATTTACTTTATATATCACATTAAAATTTAGCTTACGAGAAATTCATGTTGTGTGTATGATATATACATGTATATTACGAATAAATGTTTAGCCCTGGCAACCCCAGCTCTGTCTCTATCATGCGGCTCGATGACACTGGATTCTCCGACGACTGTGACGAGTGTCTCGATGGGAGGGACGATTCACCGTCGCGACGACACAGCTACATCGTTTCGGACGCTCACCTCTATCGACGTCCACTCGCCAGCCACCCCCAGCCAGGCTCCAGCACAGCGGCAGACGCTTGCTACCAATCAGCAACGGATTTCATCAGCAGGTCGTATCAGCCCCTCTAACAGCAGTCCTCCCGAATTCCCAGCACCGCGACCTATACCTAGGCATCCTTGGCAACGATCTGCCAGTTGTCGCGAATTGTATGCATCTAGCTTCGAAGATTCTGGCAAGGCGCGACCAAAGGATCAAACGAATAGCGGTGAATCTGTTTTAGAGCCCTTCCAATTACCCTCTCAGGGCGAGTTAGATAATCCTGTAACGCGTTACGACGATACCAATCGTTCGTATAGTGCCGCTAGTTCGAAATTACCTTCCTTAGATCATGATTCCGTACCCGAACGCGTATACAGTAGCTCCTATCCAGGAACATCGTCGTTATCTACCGAATCGGGTCACGAAGAGTCTGGCCCAGCTGGAGATCTTTCACACGATGATCTCTCGCACGATTCTTACGAGCTCTTGGAACGCGAGCACGAATTTGAATATCCGGAGTCTTATTCCAGCGCTCACGAGGATAACGAACCGCTGTCCGACAATAGCGACGAAGGAATCGAACACGAAATGTTCCAAATAGATTCGGAAACCGATTCTTTTGTCAAACACAGATCAGTCAAGCCTTCAGATAAGCAATTATTTAAATCCGTGCTCGCAGATCTCAAGAACACTAAAACGAAATCCATCGATCGGTACTCAGCTATAACCAAGGCGGACGGTGATTACGTTATTACTGAGTCTAGGATACAACGGTCGAATACACAGATAGAACGTAAATTTGAAACTAGACACGCTGCTTCCATAGAACAACCTAGTAAAACTCCTATTCCTCACCAAGATTCCAATCGAAAGGATCCCATCGTTTTGCAAGTGCAAAAGCAAAAGGCTTCCGTTCTTAATGAGCTAAAGAATTTAAAGCCAAAATATAAGATTACTCACGTCGATTCGGAAATATTACGCGACGAGGGTATTATGCGTCCGAAATCAAGAATCGATGATGATTTGAGTCCCGTTGATACCGGTAAAGTCGATTATAGTGCAAAAGCGAGAACAGTTAGGGCGCGAAGTATCGCCAGTTTGGAGGATCACATACCGCGTTTGTACGACGAGACGGGTAGTTTAGGACGTGGTTATAAATCTAGGGATAAAAAGGCTAGGGATACCGAGGAGAAATCTGAGAAAGTAAACTCGAAGATACAAGAAAAGGAACGTAAAAGTATCGAGAGGGAGGAGAGAAAGCGTGCCGAGAGGGAGTATTCAAGAGAATGTAGAAGAATCGATAAAGGCGATTCTAGAGAAAGGAGATCCATAGATCGTCTTGATTCGCGCGAACGAAGGTTCGATCGACGTAGTGTAGATCGTAATGACGTGAGAGAATTACGTAGAAGTATTGAGCGATTGGATAGAGATCGAAGTTTCGAACGTTTAGATTCCAAAGAGAAAGGTTCCTTGGTTTATGCAGATTTTTATGAAACTAGAGGTAAGAGTGCCGAACGTTTAGATTCTCACGGGTTACGTAGTAGTGCCGAACATTTAACGAGAAGTCCAAAGGAACGAGGTGTTTATCGTCACGCAGAGTCGAGAGAGCGCGAACGTAGAAAGAGTGTCGATCGTATCGAATTGCGTGAAACCAGAAAGAGTTCTAGCGCCAGAACTTCTTCCTTTGATTACAATCAAAGACATACTTTGGAACGTTTTGATTCCGGTAACAAAAGTCCATTCGAACGGTTTTCGTCAAAAGAGCAACGCGGTAAGAGCGTCGAGAGACTTAATTCTCAGGATAAACCAACGTTCGATTTCGATCCGAGGACGATCGAACGTTTGAGGTCGTTAGAACGGAGTTTCACAGATCGTTCGGATGTAAGATATAATAGAAGTCATGATAGGAAAGGAGAATTCAGGAGTATGGAACGTAAAAGTTTAGAGAAGTTAGACTCTGCCGAACGTAAGTATTTAAATAAATTAGATTCACGCGAGGGGAAGAGTCTTGAGTGTTTGGATTATGAAAGCTCGGATTGGAAAAGAAGTTTAGAGAAGATCGATTCGAAAGTTGTGAGAAAGAGCAAAGGTAAGTTGGATAAGTATAGATCCGAGGACAAACCTCGTGAACGAGACGATTGGAAGAGTTTGGAAAAAGCACGAAAAGACGATGAACGTCGTGAACGAGAACGTCAAGCAAAATTATCGTTGGAATCTCGAACGGATACTGTTATTGGTGTACCTCATGAGATGGACAATTTCAAATCTAAGACTGTCTTCTCCGAATACGAACCCAAAGTTATTGGTGGTGTAGTACTCGGTTTCGATGATACCATGTCTGGTCATACTCCCGTAGAACGTACGAAGAGCGATCCTAATCCAGCGCGTCAAAGATTAGGTTCTAATAGTAAACGTCACATGTTAATGCATCAAAAGTCTATAGACCTAACACCCGCCGATTCCGGAGATGAAGATCCATTTTCGGACGGTGTAATGATTCAAAAGTCCAATATTGATATTCCTTATACATTGCACAAACGTCACGTTATGAATGGTACTGCTTCTGACGAAAAATCCGAGTCTGACAGTAGTAAAACTTCGAAAAATTCAAAGAGTATTATCAAAGATTTGCCAAAATTACCTTTGAAGATGGTAACCGACACTTCGTGCTTCGATCTATCGAAACTTACGTCCATAGATAAACCAAGTCATAAGCTATCGCCGGATAAAATAAAAAATTCTATCAGTCCTACTAGACCAAAATCGATATTAAGTCCTTCGGATAAACCGAAAAGTATTTTAAGTCCAACTTCAAAATTATCGCCTACGGATTCAAAGAGTATCGTTTGTAGTTTATCTCCAAATAGAAGTCCTTCGAAGGCTATTTCAAGATCGCCAGATAAATCCCCGAAGAAAGCAATGTCGTTGGACAAAGGAAGAACAGAAATGGGCCTCGACGAACGGGTATGTGTAAAATCATCAAGTTTGGATAAGAAGTCTTCCAAACTATCTCCAGTTGAGCCAAATATTACTATCATCTCGAGTATAGAAAAGAGATCACCCAAGATGTCACCTACGGATCCTAATGTAACAATAATTTCGGTAATACAGAAGAAGAGATCACCGGATGCACATTCAAAAAGTCCTACCAAGGCTCCAAAGTTTGTTAATCTAGAAATGAAGCCAAAATTAGAACACAAAGTCGAAATTGTGAAAGAAATGAGATCTCCAAAGGATAGCCTTAAAACACCGGATGATAGTTTGGAAAAACAGGATAGTATAGAAAAGATACCCTTACCAGATATTCCTAGTTCAGCTGCAATTACAACAGACGAGAAACAAATTACGATAAAACATGAGGAAGTATTGATAGAACAAACGACAACGGTCGAAGAAAGTTTGGTAGTTGTTGACAAGACAGATCAAATTGAGTCTGCTGAGTCTGCTGGTAAGGACATTTCTAAGAAGACCGATAAACTGAGTGAAAGTTCGCCCGTGAAAAAAGCTGAAATGATCGAAGAAAAACCTAAAGTTCCGGCTAAACCAAAATCATTAGAGAAACCAAGTATACCCGAAAAAACGAAACGCATATTAGAACGCATAGAATCGAAATTTTCAGAAGCCAATAAAAATTCTGCTACAAAAGTACCAAGGCCTAAGATCATCGATACCGGATTTGATGATTTCGTCGAGCCAGTAGCAGACTTACCTTTAGATGAAGTACCCGTGAAACCTGCATTGGAATTAGATAGTTTAAAAGTGCCAGAATTCGTTCCGTTTATGCTTAGACCTCATGCCGAGCCATTAAGATCTAAATCATTATCTTTGGCTGAAGAAAAGGCACCAATCGATACTTTATTGTCGCCTGAAGTAGAAAACAAGCATATAATTCAAGATATATCACCGAAACGAGCGAAGAAAGCTAAGTCTGAGTTAAAGAAGGACTTTAAGAAGCAATCAAAATCTTTGGAAGGAGATAAACCGCCATTGAAAAAAGCTACATCCAAAGAGGTAAAGACACCGACGACAAGTACCAGAATCGATAAATCTAAATTGAAACTCGGAGAGATGCCTCAGGAAATAATAATAATCGATTCAACGGACGTAGTCCCGGAGGTTAGTATCGTGCAAAAGGGTAGATCAAAGTCCGTTACTAGACTATCCGACAAACCATTTTCAAGTTCAAAAGAGGAAAAAGATGATACGAAAAGCACGCGTACAAAATCAGCTTCGGTGGACGATGAATTGATCAAAGGTCCTGCGATTAAAAGCGATAAAGTGAGACCAAAGTCTTTGGGTATATCTAAAAGTTTAGGAAGTACAGAAAAGAAAGATTCCATTGAAAAGGTGTCACCGAAGAAAGCAAAAGGTACCGCTAAAGTGGATGTCAAAAGTGATAGTAAAGTTATTGTTACAAAAGATATCACTAATAAATATGAATTAAAAGCCACGCAACCGAAAGGAGAGATCAAAGATGATTTAGATTTAGGGGAAATAACAAGTGAAGGCAAACAAGAGATTGAGCAGAAAGATACAAAAGACAAAGAGAATGATATCGAGGATGATCAATCTTCAGAATCGAAACGTATAAGTGGAGAGACGTCTAAAGACTCAAAGAAAGTTCCATTTACGCAAGATTTAACAGAATCTCCTATAGTACTACGTAAACGAGGACAGAGTCCTATACTTTTCGCACGTGCACGTCTTGGCTTGTCAGAGGGTAGTGGTATTGGTGCATTGCAACGTCAAAGTGCAACGCAATCACCAACTTCGCAAAGACGTGCAAAATCTTTAGATGCTCCTGTCATTTCCGTTCACAGACTTCCACCGGCTAACGCATTTTCTAGCAAAGACGATACAGTTGACATGTCGGAAGACGTTGAAAATCAAGATAATATAGCCGAAGAGAGTATTGGTACCAATATATTGTCCAAGCCACAATCGATGCAGATAGAAGCTTCGCCGAATCATAGATCTGACAGCACCGATCACACAACCGTTCCAGAAATTTGTACAGATTCTTTGTCCGTAACAGAAACTTCCGCACAATATTTAGAATCACCTTTAACAGAATGCAATGAAATAGCTACATGTGCCGATTTAATTCCATATGAACAAGAGAAAACGCAATTACCATTCTTAGAACATGCAACTGATAAAGAAACAGCAAGTACGATCGAGATCGTCAAAGTAGATGAAAGCACGAGATTTATCGATCAAAGTTCCGTCGAATCTGCTAACGAGCAAGACATTATAGGTTACGCTAAAAGTGATCTAGTAGAGGAGACTGACGTTCTTAATATTTCAAAGTTTATTACCAAACCGATAACTCCTGAATTCTCCGAAATTACTTCGAAGCAGAATGTTGAAACTTCGAACCAAGTAGAAAAACCAAGTGAAGAAATGAAAGATCTTGATAAGAAGATACTTGAGACGAAGGCGAGTCCTCAATACCAAAAAGAAACTTTGCAAGATGTCAATGAAGCCGGTCAAAAAGAAGATGAAATTTTCAACGTGAGCGTTAAAGTGGTTCACGAATACGGAGATGTTTTTTCGTCACTGAATGACTACGACGAAGGATTGAATATGGTTAAATCTCCTATACAAATTTCGATCGAGGAGTGTTCGGATGAAGAGCTTATGGAGAGCGATGAACAAGACGAAGAAATAGAAGATCGGGAGTCTGTTAGAGTTGATGGTGACGATATGCGACCATTAGATTCTGCCGATACAAGTGAGGATACACTCGATGCACTAGACACGCAAGTACAAATGCGAGGTGCTGATAGCGAGCTTAGTTCACCGGATTACGGTGTTGATAAAATGGACGAAAAAACATTGGTCGAGGTTGAGCTAACTCCGGAATATTTAGAAATGAGGAAAGATGACGAGGAAGACACCGAAGAATTGCCAGAAGACGAATCAATTAAGGAACAAGTCGAGGAAGAAAGTCCAGCCGTCGAGCATTTTATGGTTGACAAAAAACTCAGACTCAGTACCGAACGTTCCAGAAGCGAGGACACAAACACATGGACTCCCGATAGGGAGGACGCTGATTCGAGTTCTTGCTCGATCGCTCGTCCTTTGGGAATTGGTCAGATTCAATCGATAGTCGATCGTCGAGAGATCGAACAAGTAAAAGAAATACGTAAGGAGGGGTCTTTAGAAGAGGACAGTAGTAGTTCTCAGCCAGCACCAAAATTAGAAATGAGTTCAACATGGAAACCGTTTCCATTAGAAAGCTCTGGTAGTTCGAGTTTAGAGGATGGTTGGATACTTCAAGACGATAACAACGCTCAACAGTCGCATTCCGAGGATAGTAATGGACAGAATGAAGAGAGTTTTCAAGAGGATCTGGTCGATGTACCAGGTGGTTTCATTTATCCTATTGGACCAGAGATTCTTGCAAGTTACGGTGCCTTTTCCTTATCAAGAACACTTTCACGAATTTCGGAAAGATCAACTACTTCTGAGCAAGATAAGAGCGACTTGGAGGATTCATTTAAACCCAGCTCGAGATCTCCGAGTCTTGACGACGAATCTTTAATATCGAGCGATCATCAACCTTCTTTATCGTCAGACCCTCCCTCGGGTACAGCCTTACCTTCCATGTCGGATGATCGTAGAACATCCGCCGAGCTTCCAGATATTCCTATAGATGTAATGGGCACTCAAGAGGAAGATTCTAAGTCGCCAAAGACGAGGAAATCGAAGTTGCAATTGCAGAGTTCCGAAGACTGGCCCTCGCCACCTAGTTCACCAATCTTTGACACTCCTGTGGTGAGTCATGTGGAAACTTTTTATATGGAGATCAAGCCGGAGGAAGCTGTTAAGGTGACAGTAACAGACAGTACAGAAACTCCGGGTTACGTTGGACATGATAGCGATTCAAGCGACGAAAATAGGACTCTTCACGAAGATCTACATTCTACTCTCTTAGAAGATGGCCAAAGTTCAACGTCCCCGACGACGATCGATGGTACTGTGAAGATAGCTGTCAAACCAAAATCGAATTCCTACATAACAGGTTCCTCTCATAGTGAAGATACGTCTATGGGTTTATCGATGTCTGAATGGTCCAGCTCAAACAACACCGTACAGCAATTCTGTCAATATTCCGGTACGAAATCCGATGACAATTCTTTAGCAGAGCTTGGAGCTTCGATCTCAGATTGGTCAGGTAGTACGACTGTCATACCACAGCAATATTACTCTACGATGACGGTAGAGAAGAGCCAAAGCGACACGACGACGTCGGACAAGAGCGTAACTAGTATGCGACCGAATTCAAAATGTCAGTCAGCTGAAAGTCCACCCCTTCCACCACCATCTCCACCACCTCCTTTACCTCCACCTCCTCCACCACCTCCACCGCCACCGCCATCGGAAAGCACCGACGAATCAAATCGAAGAGAGGATATGCACGATGATAACGTCAGTGACATCGATGAATCTTTCATCTCTATTCTTTCATGTGCTACCATTCCTTCCTCCTCCTCCATTCGTGGCGGTGACGAGAGCGAGCCCGTTCGAACACGTAGGGATGACTTTGATGAGGCAAGGAAATTTATCGAATCTCAATTCGATCAACACCGTCGTCTTAGTCGTTACGACGACGATCAACGTGGTGGTCGTTCAGGTTATACCGATATCTCACCACCTCGTATTACTTTTCAAAACGAATACGATGAGACTCTGGAGGAGGAAGACTTTCGTTTAGATCCTGAGGTGGTCGATATGGGTATCACCGATGTTCCTCTTCCTATACCAGAGGAAGACGAGGAGGATCAATTGTACGACAATGTACCGGCTATGAAATATTCCAGTGGTGATCAGATCAGGATGGACGTTGCTCGTGGAGACAGTTCCGAAGACATGCATGAGAAATATGCTGATTTAGCATTAAGAACGAGACTAGATAAGGACGAATGGTTGATGGGCGAGCACCGCGATGTTGTTACGTCCGATGAAAAATCAGTCAGAAAGAAGATCGAGCGAGGTTATTCGGAACCTTGCTCGCGGGAGCAAGAAAGTAGAAGGTATCACGGTACAAGGTCCACCGAAAGACCGGTTCTCGTGCCTATAAGAGCGAAATCTACACCGTATTATTCGACAACGAGTCTTAGCGGCGAGTCAACCACTTCCAGTCCACCGATGCAGGCTAGAATGCAAATCAGAACTAAAACTATGCCTTATTCCTCAAGTAGAAGCCCACAAAGCGAAGGTGACACTTCTTCCAGCATGGACAGTCCTGCTCATACGCCTGACAGAGGTCAGCGTGCTTTCCGTCGTAAGAGACAACAGAACACGAAGAGGAGACATCGTGTTGCTGTCGATTTTAAGATCAAGGATGGTCAAATAGTTTCAAGTACCGACTCTAGCTTTGACGTTACGACAATACCACCACCACTGTTTACTGAAGCTCATAGTATCGATGTATACGAAGATGAGGACGAAGACGATGAGTATTCGGAAAGTAAAGATGACAAAGAACAAGAACAAGATTGTCAACAACATCGAGAATGTCCTGAGGAGGATGACGAGCTCTGAGATACGCCGATGGAACAATGGCTTGACTCGAAATTGTATTCGCCTATGAGCGATTACATGGAGTACGAAACTTATTCATCGACGTAACGGAGAATTCGTAAAGTAAAATATTTCTAATCTTTGGGAATTGACGCACTCGACGAATTGATAGCGATCTTTTCTTACACGTAAAGTTCTATTGAATGAATCTAAGTGATTAGAAAAAATCGAAAGGATTGTCTTGCATGAAAAGGAAACAGTAAGAAATAAAAGAGATTTACTTCTGAACGGAAAAAGAAGTTTAGTAATATCGTTAGCTATACATATATATATATATATATATATATATATATATATATATATATTCATATATATGTATATGAAATGATCGTTACACATTTTTAGAGATCCGATTTACTTTGATATTTATTATCATACTTAGAGTTGCCGATCAGTAGGTGATTTCGTAGTGTGCATTTAATATCCATAAGAAACGTGATAACTCGTGATCGCGGGGTGGATATGTGATATATTTAAAGGAACGATACTCGCGCAATGCTATTCTAGTTATGTATTGTATAACGTTGAAGAGAAATGGAGTAGTAGAGATGAAAACGAAAAAAAAAAATGAAAGCAGGACATAGGGGTTTAAGGGTAATTATATAATTATTATATGAAACAGATGCAAGAGTTGGTTGGTGATCATTAATTTTTTCTTCGGACACTCGTCCCCGGTTGTCAAAGAATGACAATTTAACTCTATCGTTTTAAGTTTTAGAGGTCGACAATCATCGCACGCAGAGTGTCTCTGGCAAAAATATTGAAACGGAGTAGATATATCGGATCTTGTTTCTACTTCGGTTACGAGAAAATAATGTATAAATAATGTATACTTTTATTACAATTTCCTTAGTATTCGTATTAGGATAGTGTTGGGAGATCGTGTGCAATTTGTCTCATGTAATTTAGAGAGTATTATTATTGATGGCAAAGAGTGGAGTGGTTCGTAAAAGAATTGACATGCTCGAATATATATGTATATATATATATGAGAAAAATACGGGCGAAGTATTGGAATGAATAAGCGGGTCTTTAGAATAAATCACGTAAAAGGAAAGAAATGGATGGAGGGTTAAAGGTATTTTCGACAAACTCGAAAAGAGAACACATTCAAATTGGTTTCAGCTTTCATCGTGCCTAGTTTTTATACCACATTCGTCGCGTTTGCACTTTAATATAACACGAAAAGTTTGAACAGTATTTCACATAGCTTTCCTCAAAAACTTCATTGTTTCTTGTCTAAGGAAAAACAAAAATAGATAAACGTTTGGTACAGATATCGAATGGGAATGAATTGATGAGAAACGTGGCCCGTCGTACTAAAAAAAAAAAAAAAAAAAAAAAAAAAAGAAGAAAAAAAAGAAAAAAAAAAAGAAAAAGAAAAAAAATGAAAAAGAAAAAAATATATAATATATATATATATATAAAAAAAAAAAAATAAAAAAAGATTAATAAAAAGAGACAAAAAAAGATTTAAAAGCAATAACGTAGCTCGTACGATAAACTGGTCTCTGAACGTGTGACAATTGAGACGTGCACGGAGGATGCGATCAAAAGGCACCCAAGACTGTAATTTATTATTTTTACATATGCCATTAATTTTTTTTTTTTTTTTTTTCGTTTAAGCTTAATACGCGGATTCATTTTATTTATTTATTTTATTTATTTATTTTATTTATTTATTTTTCTAACGCTTGAGATAAATGTATTATCTGTTATGCAATAATCTAATACTCATTCCGAATTTCCCTTTAACCATACAACCAAGTACATCGGAAAATGGAGTATAACAATTATGATAATTACGATAAAACGATAACGATCGATTTCGCATCGTTCTCGAAGAATTTTCAAATAAAATGTTGATCATTTCAACGAAGTAACATTCACCAAGATTTACAACACTTTTAGATATCGAGCCAGAATACGAACAATCTAGTTCCTTACATATACAATTTTATTATCAGAATGTTTATTCGTTTTTTGCGATTCGCGCTACCGTTAAATAATCCTTATCATATGTACTATTTATAGGTACGAACGATCATTGATAATCACGTTACCGTTAATAATCATTAATTATTATCGCGATCACTATTGCCGTCATTAATCATTATTACTCTATTAAGGCTATACACAATTATTGTTACTATTAATGGTAGAACACAGTGAAAGTTAATACGTATCGCATACGCGTTATTATGTATGTATAAAAGTACGGGGCGCGATTGCTGAGTGCCGATATACGATGGATACTGTATTATTTTTCTCGATTAATCGACGATATCGATTCGTATGAACGTAAGAAAGCAATCCTTTGTCTGTCTTCTTTAAATCCGTATTCTTTAAAGATTCAAACTAATATTTTGACGTATCATCGATTTATAGCTTTGATAACGATTTTCAACTTTGCCCGAAATATGTAGACATGTATATCGATCCATCAAATTTTTAAATACTATTTGAAAAACATTTGCCAAGATATATTTCAATTAAGTCTTAATAATTTGCAAGTTAAATTTTTTGATTTATCCATCGTCGTCATCGTTAGTGTCGAGAAAAATAATATTCCGTTCATACTCGAATAGAGAGATAGATTGTGATGCAGATTTATACGCACAAGATCGAAATGAGAACTTGAGGACAACTGTCGTCGAAACGAACGATTGTAAGATATCGTTCTATATACTAATAGACGATGGATCTAATTTCCCGTTGAAAGCAAAAAATGTTTCATCTAATTTTCGATTTATCCCTTTGCATGCGCATTACAAATTAACCTTTGACTCATAATAATAATCATTGCGATCATTTAATTAAGCTGTCCCTACCCCGCCCATGCCCCCTTCCTCGGGCGTGGTAATTACCAATCATTTCAAAAAACGTAATGAAAAACTTTGTTTCCGCACCGCGAAAACTGAAACGGCACTGTCCTGACACTTCGCTTTTTTATCCCAATCTCTCCTAATCTTTAAAGAGTATCATCGTATCCTCAGCTCTGTATCGATTATTTTTTGACTTGTCATCGTTTTCGTTCAGAAACGAGCATGTATTGTAAATTGTCTATGAAATATCCGACGTTCTTCCATGTCCGTAATCAATTTTTTGATATTATATTATAATTTCCAGTAGATAAACTTAAAATACCTGCTCGATTCTGTTTCTTTGGTTTTTGCATTTGTGCATCGTCAATTTGTCATCCCATGGTTATCAACACACGCACGCGTTTTTTACGCACTCGTTACAGTATATCATTTTCATTCATTTCGATTATTCATATTAAATCATTTCTTTTTACATTCATTCATACATTTCGTTCGTTCATTAAACAATTCTCTTTTTCTTCCCCCCCCCCCCCCCCCCCCCCCCCCCCCCCCATCACCACTCTCTCCTCCACTTTCATTCTCTCATTTATCCATTCATTCAATTTTATTTCTATTCTCATTCATTTCTTCCCAAGTCTTTTCTATTTATTATTGTACAAACATGTTTGTACGATCTTTTGACAAATGTAAGACATGTAAAAGAGAGAGTATCAAGTTTTACATGATATCTAATGTATTTGAAATTTCTTTAAAATTTTGTATGCAATTTGAATATTTACTTTTTAATTGACCACATTTATCTGTTTCTATATTTTTGTTGTTTTACGCAACGGTAAATAATGAATTAAAACTTATTAAATTCAGATTGAAATGTCAAAAAAGACGTGCAAATGTATTTGTAAAATAATTTTGAAGCCACAAATTCGTCGTATCGTATTTTCGGTTATCAGTATCCTCGTTAATTCGTACGCGTGCGCGTGCGAGTGTGCGTATATTCCGTGTACTCACGCACACCGTACTTGACAGATTACTTGTTATTGATTATAAAAATGAATTATTAATGGGAAATATTTGATGTAGCCGCGAAAGCGTCGAGAGCGTGGCATGCGATGAGAAAGTTGATCGGTAATATCGACAATTAGCAACTGACTGAACACTGTATTCACTAACGACTAACTATATTACACAAGTACACACATATACATATACACACGATTTAGTCTAGTCATAACAATTAGTATGCAAAGGTCGTGATACCTGGAAATAGGGATCAAGGTATTAGACGTTAAAACGTAACACGGGTAACTCGTACGGTTATCCAAATTCATCGTAATTAAATCTATCTGTCCAATCTTTGTAACTTTTTTTTTTCATATCTTTTGGTCCCATCTGCTATTCGCAGATTTTCATATTACGCGTGTAATCAAAATTGCTCGTCAGAGAATAATTAGAAGTCAGTTTCAAGCGTGTTATATTGAAAATGGACTGTCTCCTTTCAAAAACAATTTCAAATCTCATTTGAAATTGTCAATCAAACCAAACGGAGATTCGCGATAAACGACATTCTAAATGATTTTTCCTGGTTAAATGTGTCAGCATATGAAACGTTAAAAAGAAAGAAAATGGAAAAGGCCAAAAATTTTACGTTAAAGAATCTGCGTCATATACGAATAAGAGACTCGAATCATTTTTATTATCTCGCAACATTCTTACATTATTATTATCATTATTATTATTGTTATTATTATTGTTATTGTTTCATAGTTCTAACACGTTTTGTAGCTTCGTAGATACTTGATGTTTTAATCTCCTATTGCATATTTTAGGACATTTGTCATACTTTCATTTCACAAAAAAAAAAAAAAGAACAAAAAAAAAATTAAAAAAAAACAAAAACAAAACCAGAAAAAGAAATATAAATTGAAACCGATGTCATTTGGGACGATGATCAGAGAAACGTCGAATGTGTTTCGGTATATCGAAATGTTGCAAAGTAAAAAATAGAAATCCTAACGCCATCCACACCAACACTCTACGTATGCTTCTCGACAGGTGGTGATATTAATCGGTGGAGCTACACAAACGGATACGTGAATTCTCCGGCATGGCATGTGCCGTTTCGTGTGAACCCGGTGCGTAACGTATTGGCTCACGCGACACCTCGCTCCCTGACCAATCGATTCCTTCCGGTTTACCCACGTTGAGAATCGAGAAACGGGGCCAATCTTGCGAAATGCGAAAGTGACGTACCACGCTGCAGGTCGGATTCGACAATGATTAATCAAAAAAGAATCGTATCTTTTTCGAAAAAAAAATTTCGCGTGGAAAAACAACCGAACTTCAATTCTTCTTTTTAGTTAATTATTATTATTATTATTATTATTATTATTATTATTATTATTTCAATTAACAACTCGTAATTCCTTTGAAAATAAGCGGAGTGTTTAATCGTATGCAATTACATTTAAAAAATTATATACATCGTAGGTGTTATCAAAGAAGATCGGATTGAACGGAATCCGCTAAGAAGATTTGTTGACGCAACGATTGTTTGAATAATTTTCAATGATTGATTACGAATGATTCTTTAGATTTATTTTGTCAAAGCTGAAAAAGGAAAAGTTGTTAACGATATTATTCGTTGATTCAACAAATCAACTCACGGCTGAAGATTCATTTTTTCTTCACGCTATTACGCTGCTGCTCTTAGCCATTTTTCTTTTTTTTTTTTTTAGCCGCTACACGCCTTCTTACTTCTTTATTCTTTCATAGGAAAAAAAAAAGAAAAAAAAAGAAAGAGAAGAAAAAAAACCTTAGTAAGAAACGTCATTATTAGCCATTACTGGCTACATTAGCGCGATTATAATTTCCATATTCACTATATAAAAGCGATAGATAAAATAGTATACATTATTAACGAATGGATCGAAGAAAAATTGTGAAATAAATATAAAGAACGCTGGAAGAAAAGAATGGAAACTTAAAAATTATAAATTAAACATGCAAAATTTCTATGATGTTGCTATCTTATAATTGTTACATTCGCACTGCACACTGTAGGTGTTAGCATTAGAAATAGCGGTATGTTGGTTTGCTAGAAGATCAACAAACTTTTTTTTTAGAAAATGAACTTACTTTGAATCGTAGTATACTTTGTGCGAAAGAAAAATATTTTAAAGATTTTTTATAATTTCTTATATAAACTTTCTACTTTGAGATCGAATTAACTTTTGAATTGTTCGTCAAATTTGGTAGGTTATTTCAATGAAAAAAAAAAAGGAAAAGAAAAAAAAAAGAAAAACTTTTTATGCTTGTTCAGTTAACCTGGCTTTGGCACTTCGACATTAAATCACGAGAGCACCCTTTTGCACTTTGTTTACCTTGTATTCCGTTGCGTTATCTCATTAATTACATTGCCTCATTTAGTTTTATGTTGAAATTTGTAGTGAATGGAATTTACGATATTTATTTAGCCATTATAGTTTTATCATCTGTCACGAAAGACATCGTTATGCCTCATCATAGTGTACCGTTCAATCCTGTCTCCCGATGTTGCGTAGAGATGTGAATTTTGGAAAATCATTGCCACGAACGAATCTATCAAATTTCTATTCTCTTGTCGAATATCGTTCCGTGCGTTTCAAAGATGATCGTGACAAATAACGTGTGAAAAGCAAATCGACTAAAAAATTTTAACACGCTTACGATTTTTTTATAAAAGATAATAATTTTTCATTACAGAGATTCTCAGGAATAGTAAGATTTAATGTGCGATTAGAGACAATAATTGCTACAATATTTTATCTAAAAATTGAATTGTGAAAGCGATTAAAAAAAGAAAACAAAAGTTGATCTTTTGTTTATCAAAAAACTGATCAAACTCACATCTCTAATTGCAGTGTGGTACTAATCTTTCCTGCATCATACACACTCGTATTATACACATGTCAATTATCAATTATCTGCCGTTCTACTCTTAGGTACCTAATAATCATTGCGTAGCGTTCCCTTTTCACGATATTACATAAATCTATTTATTACCACCTGTCATGATGCCCTACCACTATTTATGTCTCTACATCATTTTTATATAAATACACACAGAGATTCGTGTGTCATTCGTTCTGTTTTCCTTTCTCTCTCTTTCTCTCTCTCCCGCTCTCCCTCTCTCTCTCTCTCTCTCTATCTATCTCTCTTATTCTTAATCACTCTCACTCTTAATCGTGTGTTTCATACGGGTAATATCATAGTATTTTTGCAGCATATGTGTAAAACACATATACACACACAAACACCACATGTCCTGGAATGAGCCTTCTCTTATTAATCTTCTTTGATCTTCTATTTAATGTGGCCTTCTTCCAGGTGTTCAAGCCCGTTGTCATTAAATATGTAAATCAGTGTTAATCACGGATAATAATAACTTCGTTATTATTAATGACTAAGCGAGACGACTATTGTGTCATTATTGCGACATACGATGACTCTTATTCTTTATCCTTTTTAAAAAAAAAAAAAGTGAAAAAAGAAAAGAAAGAAACTTTTTCGAAAATAATTGCAAGACGGTTTGTCTTGAGATATTTACACCTGTAATAATTGATTAATAGATGTTATGTTTATTACTTCCTCTATCGTACATTCCCGATTATTATAATCATGTGCCAAATTTTTGATAGCCTTCCGCTTGTGTTTCGATGCTCGAAAAAATTTCATATTGTTAAACGACTGAATCCTTTTTATGCTTATAAAGCCATTTGTTCATTAAGTGTTCCAAAATTAATCTTTTCCAATAAAAAAAAAAAAAAAAAAAAAAAAAAAAAAAAAAAAAAAAAAAAAATAAATAAATAAATAAATAAATAAATAAATTAAAATAAAAATGAAAAAAAAATTAAAAATACAAAAAAATGAGAAAAGAAAAGAAAAATAAAGCAAGGAAAAAATAAATATGTACGCAAACAGATTCGACGGGGATGAATATCGTTCCGATAAAGGATTTGTTATATCATCGCGATATTTTTTTTTCTCACAAATGTCCTTAAGTACAACGAACGCACGATAAAAGTCAGGAAATTCGAAGTTTAAAGAGCATTCGTTGATACTACAATTGACTTTATACGTTTTAATTAGAAGCGAAAAAGAAAAAGAAAAAAGAAATGAAATTTTGATCTCGTTAAGGGACTATCTTTTTCCTTTATCATCATGAGCGTCTTTAAATTAAGATATTTATAGGAGAAAAGGAAAGAAAGGTTTTATCGTGGGACGAGTGTTCGTCGTGTCTACTCAATGCTCCCTCGTTTATTCTTTGTGTAATTTTTTCGATCGTTTATCGATATACCGTACTTGTTAACTCTACACACACCACATGGACACCCACGCACATATATACATACATATATACATACATACAATTAACACGTACGTGAAACCTGCTATCCGCGGCGGTTCCCCTCGATAAGGATATTTATGGATATAATTGTCCATTAAAATTCTGCTATTACTTCCTCGAAAAACCACAAAAGAAAAAGTAAAATAAACAAACAGATAAAAAAATAAAATAAAAGAAAACAGAAAAGAGGGGAATCACAGCGTTAGAACGGGGGAAAAGCGATATTCCAGGCGTAGGAAGTCTATTGTACATTGATTATTGATACTTAATTATGATAACAATAAATTATATACAAAGTCACTTGAAAAGCCTCTGTAATTTCGTCTTGCTTTAGTTGCTTCTCTCTTATTTACGATATTCGCTATTAGTCATTGAGTTTTTCAATTTTTGAGGTTTCTTCTCTTCTTTTTTGTTTTGTTATTATTATTATTAATATTATTATTATTATTATCATCGTTGTTGTTGTCGTTGTTATTTATCGTGGGTCTTCTTCCGGCCACTCGTTCTATTCTATTCAATTCTATTCTATTCTTTAAACCCATGTTTCTTTTGGCGATCAGAATCCTCCCTCCCGCCAGGGTACGTGATCTTTCCTCCCTTCTATTTTTTCTTCATATCCGTATCTTTTTATCGCACTCTCGGATTCGTTGGTCGACCGGATGACAATACTATGTGTGAGTAATCCCTAAAATGCCTATCTTAACTGTCAAGATTGTTGACTCTTTTATCTTCGTTTTTATTCGATATACATATAATATACGCTCGCTAAATGCACTTCCGTCTGGTTGTATTTTTCTTTCCTGTTCCACGAGTTTAAATCTCGCAAGTGGTGTAAATATTTGCGATAGGATGTGTGAATAATTCGATGAAAAAGTAATGGCAAGATAATAAGAAGAATCCTTGACTTTCGTATATGCACCACAAGTGTAAATTCGTGGACGATTGTTCTTCTTATTGAGAATTTAAATGGAATGGCTTTGCTTGCTTCGAACATTTTTCGTCGCACTTATTAATTTTCTTACCTTTGAAAGACCACGTTCGTTTATCGGAAAAAAACGACCTCTTGATTGATTTATTTAAAGCACACGTCTGATATGACGACAGGGATTATCGAGAAAAAGCATGCCGTATATAAGAAGAAATCATTGCACGAAGTAGGAAGTTTCGTTATTCTTTATGTTAACATCAAAATGCACATCGGTAGTTTTTAATGAATGTGTTATGATTGCTCTCGATAATAATACTTTGAAATGGAATTTTCTTTTCTTTTGCAAACGTATATGTATATATACGCATATACGAATATATACAGTACGCTGGATATAATTATTTTATAGTAAATATTTTATAGTATAGTTATAATAAAAACCAATATTACTTGATAATTAGAATACGTAGTTGCACGTACTTGCATTTGTTATGTTGTACGTGATAAGTTGTTTAGAATTGAAAAACATCGTTTTGTACGTTTTTCCTACCAAATGTACACGTATAAATTCCACGTTGTTTTTTTTTTCTTTTCTTATTTATAACAAACCCCCCTATACTTTTCCTCGAGCATAATAAAAAAAGGGGTGATGCGTTGATAATTAGGGGAAAAGATAAGAGCGAATGG